GAAATCAATAAAGTTGTTGTGAGCACTTGAAATTATTATCATGGATAATACCTATATATACATACATAGGTACATATTGTTATGATATTGATAAATCACTCTAATTACTTTATTTGTTGTTTATTGTTTTTCGAAATAAAATTACAATAAATTGATATTATGATCTACATACGTTTGTTTCATTTTGCATCTTAAACGGAAATAATTGGACAAGTGGAGTTGCGGGTGCCAGTGTAATAATATACCGTGACCCAGACCGGAACTGTGGGAGAGCCTTCGGCACGAATGGGTCGGCTCGACCGGAGTGGTACCACGGCCTCACAGAAAACCAGCGTGAAACAACTACAGCGTTGTGTTTTGGAGTGTCAACGAGGTAACCGGAGGCCCAATCCTTCCCCTCCCCCGATCTCTCCCTAATCCCTAAATCTCTAAAACCCTTATCCCTAAAAGGTCGGCCACGCACTTGTAACTCCTCCGTTGCGGGTGTTTATGTGCGGAGCTGATTGCTTACTATCAGGTTATCCGTTTGCTCATTGGCCGACATATTACATAAAAAATAAAAATAAAACATAAGATGGAACGTGATGGTCTTTAGTCAGCAAGAGTGACTCTCCCTCTTGCCCCAATCAGGGCGGGAGAAGGCATTTGTTGATTAAATTTTGTCAATGTTTTAAAGAGAGGTATACCTTTAAAAATAAACCAAAAATGAAATCATTAAACAGAACAAACAAAATTTTTTCCAGAACTTTGGAAGCGTTAAAGATTGGAACACTAACTAGGCGATAAGAAAATTCAATAGATACTTTATTCTAACTGTCAATATAAAGTTTTCTATATATTTTTGCGTTAAATAACATGCCCTTTTTTGTAATCAGCTTAGCTAAGTACATAAATGCAATTATATTCACACATTTTTTATTATATTTACAACTCAATGAGATTGTATGTAGTGTGATTTTATATTTTGTTGCATTTAATGACGAAATAATTTATTTTTGACTAAGTTATGTTACGCAATTGGACGAACACTGTCAGTTTTTTTTTAACCCCCGATGCATGGGAAAAGAGGACTGTTATAACTTTGACGTGTCTGTCTGTGGCATCCTGGAGCCTGAACGGATATAAAGATTTCAATTTAGTTTTTTTTTGTGTTAAAGGTGAATTACGTGCAAGTGTTCTTAGACATGTTTGACGAAAATTGGTTGAGCCTTTTAGAAGTTAAGGAGGGGTAAGCGGGGAAGGGTAACCGAAGGTCTGCAAATATACTCGAATGGGGTCTCAAATGAAAGCGCGCTGTAAGGGAATGTTGATGACTTAATCGAGAGAAAATGATCCCCGACAAAATAGAAATATGTAGTAGATAATAAAATACTTGGATCGATCCCACAACGCCACGTTCTTTTTTTATTATTACTTTTTAAAGGGATGTTAGTTTTTTGTCAGGGTTTTTTTATTTTAATTAATTTAATTTTATGAATACTTGTCTTATATTATATTTGCTCAGTTTTATCCATGCTCTCAGGTATATCCTATAAGTAGGTAATGGAAAACGCCTTAGTCACTGTTACTTTCATTAAAATAGAAGCATAATAAAAACAATCTTATTGCAAAATCAATAGAATTGAATATCCAGTAAACTTAAAAAAACGAAGAGATAATGAAAAGATTGTTTACGAATTAAATTTCTTTTAAAAAAATTCTTTTATCATTAGGGTCATTAATTATTATCTACGATAAAAGTTAATGACTCCTGAAATGATAAGATTTCTGCCTTATAAACAACTTATCCTGGGGTTTCGTTTGGGTAAAAATACCACGTTCCACAGACTACGTCCTCCATTTTCAAAATAACTTCCGTTCAGCTCGTTAGATTGTGTAGTGCATTGAGAGCCGTTTTCTGAATTGCGGTGTTAAGATTCTCCGGCGTTTAACGACCCTCGCGTCGCGCCGCAGTGAACTCATACTTACCTGGCGTAGGGGATACCGTGATCAAGAAGGCGGTTCCCCCAGGGCGAGGTCCTATCATTGCACTGCGATAGAGTTGACCCCTGCGATTATCCCTAATGTGGATAACTCGGGCGCGTAATTTTTGGTAGTGAGGGACTGCGTACGCGCTGTCCCTCTAAGATTTACTGAAGCAGTTGCCCCCTCAACTACTCGAATATTAAGTAATTATTGAAATGTAATATTCTGTAAACAAATTTATCAAAGTACTCAATTCTTAAGTAATTGGGTAGTTTCCTACGTCAAAAATAAATTACTTTTTGTCTTTCAAAACATGAATAAAATATATAGTCATATCTCCATTCATTGATTTAACAATATACTTTATTTTAGATTTTTTGTAGTTAAATTGTTAAAAATAAGTCTGCTATTAGATTTTAATGTTGCGATTTCATAAAAAAATCATATATAAAGTATTGAATTTGTCAAGTTGGAAATTAGTGTTACATTTGAATTGAAATGGCATTCCTTCTTTAACTCGTGGTAACTCGAGACACAATACATATAGATGCGCGAACACCGGCGTTCGCTTGGGATTTGACGAATTAATGTATGTCATAACATGTTCAAACTCGAGTCGACAATAGCGTAATTTAACCATTTAACAGCGAAATTTTTCCACCTGCCCCCGAAAGTCACTGATCATTATGCCAAATAACACAAAATATACATAAGCATTGATAAAAAAATTACTCTCTTTTGCAAATGACTTCATATCACTTAGTTCCAAAAAAAAATGTTGTCTGGCAATCAGGATATCAAATTTCATCGAAATCAAGTTTAAACCGGTTCCAAGTTAATCCGGAATACGTGAGTAGTTGCAAACCGGTTATAAGCAGAAATAGTCGATCGAAATTTAGGGGCGTGTCACCTGATCTTTATCAGTGAAAAAATAAACAACTTTCTTCCAATCAGCACTAGTGCGCGTATCATGACGTTGTTGGAAAACGGAATAATACTGCATTGCATCAAGCCAATCGATGTCCAAAGGTCGATAATGATACAGGTAATTCCCGTTTCGGTAAATTCATTTTTTATTTTGCCTTTATAAAAAATATATTTGCAAGCGGCGTGACATATCTACATTATGCTGTGTTTCGCTGCACGAATAGCGTTCTCAAATCCCGCTTCCTTTTTCCAATTCTAACTCCCAAAAGGCCAGCAATACACTTGTAACTACTCGGTTTCGTGTCTTTGGGCGGTACCGGTTGCTCATCATCTTCAGTGCTCCACATTCGCATTTGCCGACCTATCCTATAACAAGATCTTAATTTAGGAAATGGATAAATCTATCAAGGCGACAGGGATTATAAGTCTTTTAATACTGATAACCAGCCGGATCCTTCTGTGGCTCCAGGCCGAAGCCGCGCTATATTATTGCGTTTGTGGGTCAAGTGGCCTATTTAAATTCCTATAGCATATGATTAATTGAAGTGTGCATGGTCTAAACAGAACGAATGGCATCATGTTAATGAGCTTAATTAAATTCGGAGACTTTACTTACATCCTTGAAAAATTATTTGCTGGTTATCGTGATTTGCTGAACGAAAAACGAATCTGTGTCAGCTGGTTACTAATGTGGCAGTCTTCAAGTATCCAGTATTGATATAGAAAAATCTATTGTACCACAAAAGTAAAGTTATAGCTTTTACACCGACTTGAAAAACGAGTCCAAAGTCTGCAACTAACATGTGTGAATTTACGATGAATTAAGTGTGGCAGAGCCAAGCTTAGGCACTAATGCATGGGGTAAGAACTCCGTAGCACGAATGGTTTGGCTCGACCATAATGATACCACAGCATCACAGATAACCAGCTTGCAACAACTACAGCGTTGTGTTTCGCCGTATGAGTGAAGTTACCGGAGGCTTAAACCTTCCGAAAATTTAGGGATTAGGGTGGGAAAGAGATCCCGCCCTCCATAAATTTCGGAAACCCCAAAACGCCACCAACGCACTCGTACCTCCTCTGGCATTGCGGGTGTCCATAGACAGCGCCTAATGCTTACCATCAGGCAATCCGTCTGTTCGTGTTACGTGTATAAAAAAACCAAAAAACCCAATAAAAGAAAAAGCGCCTAAAGAAAATTTAATACCCTAACTTAACTCGTTACGCGCCTGTGTCAGATTGCTCAAATAGAAATTTCAGGCACCTAAATTCAGGACATACATCTGGTAAGCCTGGTTCACTCAGGTCTATTTATGATCTGGTTTTCTAACAAAAATATGTACTAGCATCTTTGTGGCCTTAGAAACAATCATGATCATACTTAATTTTAAACTAAACCTTAGATGTTCTATGCACTAAGAAATTCATTTGCATCATTGTCCTGTTGGCGGAGAACAGGATTCCCATGTTGCACATCTACGCTGCTTCTGTCAAAAAAAATAGCCGGACCAGGTACATACCTAATCTTAACAACTACATTTTAAAAATAACCTATACAGACCTAACCTACCTCCTCATTAGAGGCATCAATCTGATGCATTGGACTGTTGATCTTTCTATCTTTGATCACCAATATGCCTACCAGGAATTCCGCTTGCAGCTAATACTTATTAGGCATAGTAGCCCATAGTTTAGTATTATACTCCTGCCCCTTATTGCTGATGGTGATAACGCAATATGCGCTTATGGCATTTTCATACATAGATTATGTCGTGGCAAAAACTCTCTTTGAAGTGAAATAACGTATTTCTTTTGGTCACTGATACCTACTGTTCGTTACGTCTTTATCATAATTATATTACTGGACCCTCTTTAGAGTGGTGACTTGGATGGAAAAGTAGTTGATTGGATCTACTGATCTCCTTGTCTTCGTGTTTACAAAATTATTTATTTAAGAAAATTAATTGTTATCCTTTGTTATCATAGCATTTTATGAATTTCGAGCGCATTTCTGACACATGTCACTTGTATCATTTATATATTTTTTTTTCTTATCGGTAATAGATATTAATTTATGGTCATTTCACAATAGTTTGTATAACAATTTACTGCTACCGACTATCGCTACAAGGTGGGGAAGGAAAGTTCATTAAAAAAAAAGCAATTTTGTATTTTCCGTAAGTGTTATTATCCTATATAATTAACTCAAAATCCCTCGTCTACTTGATTATAAGTTTTTTGTAAATAAATAAAATAACTGTAATAATTCATTAATCTTTTAGTTTTTAGTCAGTAAGAGTCTCACACTGAGAAAGGAAGATAATCCCATTAAAAAAAATGAGATTAAATCAAAACAATGTCAATAACAAATTTATTGAAAAAGAATCCAAAAACATAACGTGTGAACTGTGTTATTCCTACCTCGTCAAAATTTGACCATCGCTCGTGCCGGGTATCTGCATTAGACTCTTTGCACTCTTTATGTTGGATGACTATTTAAGTCATCCAACTATGACACATGCTTTAAATATTCGAATCTGACATTTTGTAGTCGGATTTTTTTATACTTTTCTTTTTATCATTTAATGCATTGATTATATTATATACGTTGGCTATATTTTATCAGAAACGGATATACAAAGATATATACACTCATATTTTATCAGATAATTTAGTAAAACATTTGTCGTACCTACAGAACGACGTGGAAAACAATAATGGGATTGCGTAGTGAAATATTGATACATCCACCCAGAGGAGGGAAGCATGTCACTGGAGGAACTATTAGAGGAATGGTCAAATTTCATTTGGACAAAGACACGGACTTCAAGAAGATAAGTATAGCTCTAATCCAGAAAGGTCATGTTCAGTGGTACGAATTTGCAACGAAGTCATCGGTCAATCCTCGGAGGACAGTGGGCAATAGATATGTGTACGAAGGCAGAGAAGAAGTCACTCTCACGAAAGTTTACTTTTTAAACAAAGAAATAGACGAGAAGTGTGACACTAGCACGTTAAAAGCCGGATCGTATGAACACCAATTTGAAATCGAATTACCAGAAGAGGTTCCAGCTTCAATCAGCACAGATATTGGTGAAATTAATTATAGCATAGTACTTAAATTCAAAAAGCCTTCAGTGTTTAGTTTTAACAAAGTATTTAGGACACCAGTCACCATTTATCCTAGATTGGATCCCACAATCCCTGATCAACCAGTCACGGTAAGTCTAGAAAAATCTCTCTTCAAATTATTTTCTTCAAAAAAACATGAAATTAAACTTAAAGCTGAACTCGACAGAGGCTATTTGATACCTGGTGGTGAAGGTAAAATATCATTTAGTGTTATAAACAACAGTGACGTAATTTTCTCTGTTAAAACGGAACTCGTTTCAAAAACAAAGTATAGAGATCGATTTATGGTTGAGAAAATTGTTAGGGACAATCCGAAGATAGAGAGAAAAGTGATTCGTGCTTGTACGGTGGAGACTCCAAGCATACCTGAACGCAGTGTGTCCTCTGATATGTACAACATAATACCCGTAACAACAGATTTATGTACAGTGAGACACTCAGAACTAATATCGAGAGAATTTAAACTAAAGGTTACTTTGAACTTGCCAATGCCTCACAAAAATTCGTGCGTCGACATTCCTGTATTTATTGGAGAACAGCCTCATTTGCCTAATGAGCTAGAAGCCGGTTTTGGTGAGCCCATGGAAGCCCCTCCGTCCTACTGGGAAGTAATGACCGAAGAAATGTCTAAATAATAAACTTCGTTTAACATATGTTCTGATGTTTTATTTCCTTTTTCGTTTTCTTATAAATCACTATTGTAATACAAACATTAAGTTTCATCATCATCATTATTAATTCCATCATCATTAATTTAGTGACTTTTGTTAGTAGCATCATTACCTCCCCGTTAAAAACAAATCCGGTTTAATAGTGTCCCATCCTGGTTTAGTTTTAAGTCACTCGATAGATGGCGTTATGCATTAAGAGCTGTTTTCTGAATATCAGTTGTTTAGCAAAGTTTGGATTTCCAAAATTACGATGCCCTTCAATATATTTTTACGATTGCATTCTTTGGTAGTACCTATAACGGTAACATCTAAACTATGTATATTTAGAGTGGAGAAAAATGCAGAAGTAATGCGGCATGGACATCCGTTGAGTCACGGCTGAGTCATCGATTTTTTGATAAAAAGTAAATGTCAATAGACTATCATGAGATTAAAGATAACAGGATGTTATTACAGAAATTATATATATTAATACTGCTACTATCTACTATTTATATAAAAGTTTGTAAATGTTTTGATGTAAATTGGCATAAAGGATGTAGTACGAAACCACACAAGGCGCTACTTTTCACCCCGGTAACACCAGCGCAGCCGCTAGCAAAAGCTAGAAGAATGAGTAAACTCAAGCAATTAAATTAAAAAGAAATGCCATATTCATATTTTCCGGTATATAATTTATATAAAGGTAAATAATAGTATGTAAACTACATTACCTGCAAATTTGGTAATTCCAGTTACCTATTTCTTATTGATAACTAAGCATTTTATTAAGCCTTAATTTTTTAGTTTGTTTTATTGGAACTTGAGATTTCCGCGCGCGCCTCAAAGAGCCGATAGACCACCACAGACGGGGCTATATAGGGCTAATATTCAGCGCAATGAGTCACCGCGGAACCCGCCAGAAGGAACGGGGGGGTTTTAGTCAGTAAGAGTCTGACACTCTCTCTCTCGCTTTACTCTGGGCGCGAGAAGTCATTTGATGATTTTCCCTGACAAAAAAAAGATTCCTATTATTTTGATCAATAAGTAGTTGAGAAGCCGTAATTTTTGAATGTCTACATAAAATAATTGCTTACAATTTGATAAAAAAATAGTGTTTTGAAAAAGAAATAAAAATATTATTCCGTCACTACTATAAGTTATTTAAAATAGTATCAATTGACTGTAAACAAGCTTTGCTATCGTACATTTTGTAGGCGTTCAGATAAATTTGAAATCGAATGTGAGCGAGATTTGAAGTACGGGAGAGTTCTACAAAAGTGGGAAAATCTAAATACTTACCTAAGTTGATTTATGGAAAATATTAAATTTAAGCTACTATTGAGCATATTAAAATTTGAGTGACTAACGACTCAGTAAACTGTATACTGTGTACCTTCATAAATCATAAAATTACATCAGCTTATCAGTACCTTCTGCACCAGACACTCAATCCTCCCCGCCTCATCCCTAATGCCCAATCCCCAATCCCCAAATCCCTAACACAAGGCTAACAACGCACTTGTAACTCCCTTGATGTTGCAGGTGTCCATGGGTGGCGCTGATTGCTTTCCATCAAGTGACAAGACAGATAGTTTGCGGTCCTATCTGATAAAAAAATTAATTAATACTTAAAACCCCCTCTAAAATGGAGAGAGCATTTATTATCTGTACGTACAAACATTCCCGCTCAGGTACATGCGTAGGTAAATACATACATAACCTTAATTATAAGGTCCGTAATACCCAAACAGACTTGATTTGTGGGTTAACCCTACAGTTCACGGCGAGTGGACTCCAATTTATGTGCTGCCGGGGGCCTCTTCTACCACAAACAGGGATTCAAAATTTAATCTCGGGCAACCCTTGTTTTGTCCATTATCAAGTTTAGGTAACAACTGTGTGGACCTGAATTTGAGATGTTCTAACTTTAATATGTGTAATTAATTAAGTCTAGACTATCTGTATGTTGAAAAACTAACTTTTTTTGTGAGAGGAAAATCACTAAATGACTTCTCCTTTCTAGGGCCGGGCGGGAGGGAGTGTCTGACTCTTACTGACTAAAAACCTCTCCGTTCTTTCTCCTGCTCAAAGCTGAAGCGGCCGTGCATTATTGTGCCTACCCTGCAACCCCCGCTGAAGCCTAAATTGCAGACGTTTTTTTTTTTTGAGGGGGAAATTATCACCTGTCTGACGGCTGATATCAGGTTCTTACTGACGAAAAACCATCCGTTGTTCTCCTGCACGTCCAGGGCCGCGGTACATTACCAAAGGTGTACCTGTATCTACTCTGTTATTGCGGGTTTCCAATGGCGGCGCTGATCAGGTGATCATTCAGCTTTCTATAAAAAATTACTGCCTATAGAACAACAATGTATAGGTGCCGTGATAGGTGCAACGGATTGAGTGCATTTATGTGACACGACATTCTATAATATATCCAATATCTTAAAAACTACTTAATCAATGTTAATAAAAGTTTGTGGTTCATAACAAAATATTACATCACACAACATTAACCTATAAGTGCCCATTACTGAACATAGGCTTTTTCTCCCATAGATAAGGTTTCAGTACTAACCACCACGCTTCCGTTTTGTTCAAACTCAAACTCAAAACTCAAACTCAAATTTATTTATTGCAAACATAGGTAATAAGTACATAAGACATGATGAAGCATACATAATATAAGTCCGCTATGTTTCGCCTGTCGGCATGCAATTTAGAAATTATTTAATTATTATAAATTAATGTCAAACATTATACTTGTCCAGTTCATAGTCATTTTACATTTATGTTAACATTTTCTTTTGTCCATAATAGTACCATAGTATTTTGAATAATATATAATTTTATAACAAAAACAAAAAAATACGGATTAAAACAAATAACAATAATACTGTGCATAAATATAATTAAGTAGGTATGGTATGATTATTTACTAGATGGATTTATCATGTAGATAGTCATCAACACTATAATAGGCCTTGTTTAGCATTATATCTTTAATCTTGCGTTTAAATAAGTCATTATTCTTAATCTCTAGTATGTGCTTTGGTAGGTGATTATAAATTCGTGGTCCCATGCAGAATATACTTTTATTGAACATCATTGTGCTATGCGTAGGACAATTGATTTTGTTAATTTGTCGCTTACTTTTGTATTTTTTATACTTATATAAATTAGTCCTGATGTAGTTTATTACCTCATAAATAAATAGACTAGGAAGTGTTAAGATTTTTAGATTGATAAAATGGGGCTTACAGCTGTCAGTCTGACTTATTTTGCAAATACTCCTTACGCACCTTTTCTGCGCCAGAAACACTCGTTGCTTATCTGTCGAGTTACCCCAGAAAAGGATACCATATGACGCTTATGGTAATACACATATTTAAAGGGAAGGGATAAGGAGAGGGCGAGGGATTGGGCCTCCGTAACCTCACTAACACGGTGAAATCTAACGCTGTGGTTATTTCACGCCGGTTTTTTGTGAGGCCGTATCACTCCGCTCGAGCAGCATTTGTGTTGAAGCTTGGCTTTCCCTCACGTAATGAAGAATGAAAATTACCTTTGGGGATAAGGGGTTTTGTAGGTTTAGGGATTGTGGGAGGGGAAGGATTGAACCTTCTGTAACCTCCTTCACACGGCGAAAAACGAGGCTGTTTCACGCCGGTTTAATTCGGCGTTCAATACAATGTTATAATGTCTGTGTTGAGTGGATAGGCTTTGTTACTACATTACATATTTCAACGACCAATGTCAAGGTTACAATATTGATAAACTCCACTGACTCAGAATGGAAGGAAAAGAGATGGCATGATGATAGAGTGAGACAGAAGTACAACAGCGTCTACAGCTAATTGGATTCGTCGATTATAATGTGGTGTTGGAATGAAATTTTGACTAACCTTTTTTAAGTTACCAAAATAGATTGTGGAGCTATAAAAACATACCTTTTTAATAATTGAATGAGATAACAGAGGAAAACATAATGTGACATGTAACATCCAATTTTAATCAGTTATTTCATAAGTCATAATCAATGTCTAATGATTAATTTCAATAACACCATCAGGCACTTTTGAACTTCAAGCACCATGTACTAGGCAAATACGTAGAAAACAATTTAAATAAAAAAAAATCATTGCCGTGGCTGCAAGCCTAGCCCAACTAGAGGACATTTTTTAAATCACAGTCAATTGACCTATGATAGCTCAGCAGCCGATTATTCAGCTGCCGTGGCAACCTTACAGTCTAGTATCAAGTCAAATCACAGTCAATTGACCTATGGTAGCTCAGCAGCCGATTATTCAGCTGCCGTGGCAACCTTACAGTCTAGTATCAAGTCATGAATTAAAACATCATTGATTTTCTCCTGTGCCGTGGCTGCTAGACTAGCCCAGCTAGAGTTTTAAATCACAGTCAATTGACCCATGATAGCTCAGCAGCCGATTATTCAGCTGCCGTGGCAACCTCACAGTCTAGTATCAAAGTCAAACTAATAAATATATTATTGCAAAACCCAAATAATATTGAAGATCTCATTGAAATAATACATAGTAATTTGTTTGTAGTTTGTAAAAATATATTTAATAGTGCCTACAAAAAGTTCAAGGTCACATATCTAGATTAACAATCATAAAAAAATCTGTGAACAGGGACATTTTTTATATTTACATGTTTGTTCGATCGCACTCCGGAGCTACCGGAACCGCTGGTTCGAATTGAACAGTAACTAAAAATTACAAAAATGTGTGTAATTTGGATAAAAACTCGAACTCGTCGAAGATACTACGAATGTCGTCAAATGATACGTCCATGTTTACAACAGCATGGAACAAATATAAGTCAGAACACTTCACTTATTTTGTACACAAAATCCATTGAAACTTGCACTTGCATTGTGTCTATCACTGTTCACTTATCACTGCACATCGAATCCTTGTAAATATTTATTGTTTTCATCTGGAGTAGTTAAAGACAAAGCTGTATCATCCACGTGTTTCGCTGTAGCTCCAAGATGGTCTCTTCCTTCTCCGATAACTACTGGGATCTCCACTGCCTCGTTTATATGAGGAAATGGGACTACAGCAGTTACCCTCACCTTATAAGCTCCTTCCACTATCTTTGAGTATTGTATTGAGTATAAACTTGGTAAGGTGGGCACAATGCACGTCAAATTTGACACACTTCGAACTTTCATTGGTGGAGAATCACACAGAGTGCCATTAACTGTATATTTATCTACTCTTGTGTGACCATCATCAGCGCGATATGTGAAAAATTTGACCAGTTCTGTCCTTATTGTAATTTGTAAATCTGTATTATTGTTCACTGTCACTAGGAGAGTAAAATTTTCACCTGGAGTCACGAAGGTTTTATCTATAGAAGCCTTCACGTTGATTTTGTTTGTAGTTGTAAGAGAAAAAAGGTCCTTCTGTAAACCGAATATTAGTGGCTCTGGGGAACACCTGGTTACGTATCCGTAAACGGGGATTTCTGCGTCAAACTTCTTCGTCTTAATAAGACCTTCTGCCTTTAAAAATATAGCGACGACTTTATAGTATATAACACAAACATCATCCTTTTTAGATATTGGTATATTATCAGGAATTTGAAATTCAAATGGGTGTTCATAAGAACCAGTTAGAACATTCTCTTCGTTTGGTTTAAGTATATACTGAGTATCGTCCGCGTATTCTTCTTCGTTGCTATATTTTTTTCTGTCGTCTCCATCGGATTCAGTCCAACAACAACTTCCATGACCGACAAACCTGATGTAGATAGTTTCATATTTCGTCGGTTTATCCACAGAATACTTTAATGTTCCTCGCACACATTCGCCAGATCTAAACACACCTTCTTTTGCTTTTCCCAGTAATATTTGGCACAACAAAGTCATTTTGTTATAGCAAAACGTACAATACGGCCACTCACTATCACTGCCGGCAAAATACTAAACTAGGTATACATATAGCACGTTGACCTCGTCGCATTGTAAATGTAGTTGTCTGGAAAAACATTACAAATGCTACGTCAAAATTCGACTTTAGATATGCAACAATAAAGTCGAATTTGGAACGGTTTAGTGTCTAGATCTTTAGTGTTGTGTTTGTAACAACGAAAACTGAACCTTGAGTGACGGTATTAATGTGTGAAATTGATCGATGTTGGATTTTATGCGTCATCGTTGTTTAGGAATCTCTGTACACTGTACTAGATCATCACGCTTTAAGCGGCCACTGTTCAGAAAATGCATTTTTTACACTGAGAATCTCTGAGCATTGATCACCACGCTCGCACGATTAGTTGTAGATGTATAATTTAAGCACACGTCGAATTATTCGCCCTGAAAATTCGCCTCTGGCGTTTCTTCGTGAAAAAGGAAGAATATTTTGAAAATTTAAATAAAATGTTTGGTTTTGAATGTTAAATTTGGAAATTTAACCGAAACAGTAATTTAACCGATCTTGAAATTAATAATTTTATCAACGCGGGTAGGTATCGTTTATTATACTTGCTTTTCTGTCATCACCCAATATAAAGTCAATCGAAGATAACCCAAAACAACGGAAGATAACTTATCAAAATCTTTGAATTTATCAATTAAAATGTATTTTGTTTCATTGCTGTATGATTCATTTTATAAGCATTTATATAAGATGTGCCTATAATTTTAGAGTTACGAGTATAATGGGCAGTATCACTACAGTTTAGAGTATGTACGATTTTTATCCTACAAATAGTCTCAAAGATCTCCTTATAAATAGTTTCCAATGCTTCGCAATCCTTCCCTTCCCTCTTCAATCTCTAAATCTCCAAATCCCTAAACTAATTGTGTATTTTCCTCCGTAAAAATGAATTCCTCCAAGATTTCAAAACAACTAAATATTCAAAAATAATCGTAGTTCACTGATTTTTTTGATGACGTCACGTCTCTGTTTTCCATACAAAGTCCATAGAACAGTTTCGTTTTTGACATTTCAATAAACGTATTTGTTGTCAATTCTCTGATATCGTATTATTTAATTTTGTTTGAATTTATTTACACGTCATTGTGACGATGAGTACTACGTCGAAAATATAATTATCTTATCTACAGCATTAGTTGTGCGAATATCATGTATATCTTAGGTATCGGATCCTGTAATAATGTACTTTCTGTAAATCGTAATTATGTGTGATTTTTCTTTGCAATTAATCACTATCTAAATGTATCGTTTATCATACGATATTTTTCCTGATTATAACAGCAATATTTCCTAAATAAAGTCAGTATACCTTATAACAGTGTCATAGTTCAGTCGTTTGCCCTTAAACTTTCGTCAATATGGGAGTGATGTGTCAAATATTAATCAACAGAACCGAAGACGGTGTTTTCAAAGTAGGAGGACTAGTTACAGGAACACTGAAGTATTTCATAGACAAGCCAACACACTACAAAAGTATAAGCATAACCTTTCTGGGAAAAGGAAGTTGTTGGTGGTCAGAATCAAGAGGCAAAACCACGACACATTACAGCAACAGCGAAGAATACATAAATCAGATAGTAAATATATATTTGGACAGAGAAAAGGAAGATTTTATATCTGGTGGATTTGAATACCCATTCCAGTTCCTGCTACCCGTCGATATACCACCATCTTTCAAGGACAGTACGTGTACCATAGAATATAAAATCATTGTGACATTTGCAAAAGCAAACAAAATTACGTCAAAAAAATATTTTGATGTAGAAATACCAGTGACCAGCTATGTAAACCCATGTTCATTAGAGCCAATGATGTTCTGCTTAAGGAAAAATATATTTTCTTTTAACAAAACAAATTCGAATCGAATCGACTTGAAAGGAGAAATAATTAAAACATGCGTAACTCCTGGTGAAAACATCCAAATAAAACTCACAGTAAACAATAACACAAATCTACAGATATTTGCAAAAACTGAACTCGTACATCGTTTGACTTACATAGCAAGTTGTGGTCACAAGAAAACTCGTGAAAATATTGTAAGTAATACTAGTACAATGACACCTGTAGCAGAAAATAGTGTCGTTAATCTAATGTGCGTTATACCGACCTTTCAAAATTTATGTTCATTAGAACACACAAAGGTCATGATTGGTGAATATAAAGTCAAACTCGTCGTCAAACCTCCGTTTCCCCATATGTTTCGTATGTTGTATATACCAGTAACTATCGGACTAAGAAAACACGAGCTTGTAGTACCCGGCGCAGTTTACTATCAATATGATGGAGAACAACCTTCATGTTCATCAGTGTCTCCTCGTAATGGCACATTTGCAAGCCAAGATGAGCTAAAAGATTTCGAGAAATATGAAAAGGAAGGTTTTGTAAAAATTGACAGTGATAATTCAGATGAAGAAGATGAGGTAGATTTCGATATAAATGATAAATTAAAATTTGAAAAACTCGATATCAATGAATTCGAAGATAGCAGGGAAGAAAGAAATAATGACAAGGGCAGGCATAATAAAGAAGCACAATCCAGATGAAAAAAATAAAATCCTTCCAATTTCGATCATGGGTTATACTCTTTATTCAGAAAGAGGAACTACAGAATTCCTCTGAAATGTGAAATGTTAGAGTCGGGTTTTTAATGAATTAGTAACAGAGATGTTATGATTACATATAATTATATATTTGTTTATTAAGTTTATGAATTGTTTCATTACTTATATCATTTCTCTTTATTTTGGTTATTAAAACTTTTCTGTGTAAAATTTTTAAAACCTATCTGTGAGCCTAATTGTCGAATTACAAAAACTTATTTGGAAACTCTTGTAATTTTGATGGTGTAGGAAGATTTTACAATAATAAACAATAATAATGAATCCGCAAGCCAGTTTGTGGCGAGCTGTCTGGCAGTGGCGACACCACGGACCTGACTCCCGGGAGGTATCTTATTTTTCACCTCTGGTTAGTCCTCGCGACGATCTGGAGTGATCACTGTTGAAGAACAAGCCCTCCCACCTCATTCTTGCCTTAATTGGCTGGCTTGAGTGGAGATTCGCAAGAGTAGGAGTTGAAGGAGACTCGGGGGAAGGATGTATCTCAGTAAGGTGCTGGTAGAGGTCTTGACCGGATTTCCAGGATTGCTCTGATATTCGTGGGATGCCTCTCCTTACCCAAGCAGCTTAACGTATGTTGCCCCCGTGTCGCTACATGCTAGCGGCCAACCCAACCCATAACTCTATAAATTTTACCGACATTTCACTATAGTCTTGCATCGACTGGGGATTTTCCTTAGGTGCACTTTTAAAGTGCATACTCGTACAGAGATATTGGCCGGTTGATGCCCTACCACATTTATATTAAAACTGTCCAACTTGCCTCTGCGAGTTGGCTACGGCTCTTCGTACGCCTTCCAAAGGTCCGGGATCCTATAGTCCCGTGAATGGAAAGGAACATACAAAAATGATTACATACCGAATGCAATTTTTATGTCCTAGGAAAAGTTTTGTGTGAGATCCTGAGATGAGCGGAGGCCTAATAGTTTAAAACTATGTAGTTTAATGTCATGCATAACTAATAAATGGAAATAAATGAATCAAATGCCATTTGTGGCACTTTTTATAATTTCTGCATGGCCACGTATTCGTAAATCCTCCGATGTCCTTACCATCAGGTAATCCGTATGCCCGTTTGCCGTCCAATCGAATAAAAAACGTAACACATAAGTCTTTGACGAGGAAAAGTGAACGTCTTAAGTCTGGGAGAGCCATGCTTCGGCATGAATGGGTCGGCTCGACCGGAGTGATACCACGGCCTCACAGAAAACCGGCGTGAAACAACCACAGTGTTGTGTTTCGCCGTGTGAGTGAGGTTACCGGAGGCCCAATCCTTCCCTTTCCCAATCCCTCCCCAGTTCCTAAATCTCCAAATCCCTAATCCCTAAAAGGTCGGCAACGCACTCGTAAATCCTCCGTTGCGGGTGTCCATGGGCGGCGCCGATTGCTTACCATCAGGTAATCCGTCTGCTCGTTTGCCGAGCTATTACATAAAAAAAACGTCGTGTAGAATACCTTAACCTAGATATAACTTCTTAGCGTGGCTTGAAATTATCTGAGTTCCTCAGTACAAGCAGGTACGCGTGTAAGTCGTTAAACATAATAATTATAATAGTATTCTTTTATAAACAAAATGACCAACTTGTGATCTAGACTTATACAAGACAGCACTATCTTTGGCATTCTTGTATTGCCGGTAATTATATCTATGGGCAAAAGATAATTTGTGAGCATATCAAATCAATGAATCAGCTTTTGTTATATCAATACTTATATATACTATCTAATGCGTTATTTTACCTAAACGCCCAATTAGGTCCAAAGTCTAACATACTACGTTGCTTACATACGTCTTTTGGGGCTGTATCGCGACCCCGGCTAGGAGCAAAAGAAAGAACGAGGGAGGTTTTAGTCACTAAGAGGACTAACACTCCCTATCGCCCCCGACCAAGGCGGGAAAAGACGTCTGGTGATTTTTCCCATTTACAATACATCACATTGATGTATCTTGAAATACAAGATGGCCAGTATGAGTACAACGAACCCCACGTTTTTCGAAATGTCCCTCCAATAATGTTTCCTCAAAATACTTTTGGCGACAAACCTTCGAAGAACCTCAACGAAATTTTCAGTTAAGGGATACCCTTGATATTGATTTTTATTGTGCAAAATCCTGTTTAGATAAATAAACATGTCAGTGTGACGGTCAATACTACGTCGAAAATATTATAATCTTATCTACAACATGAGTGGTGCCAATATTGTGTATATCATTAATATCGGATCCTGTAAGAATGTACTTTATTTTTATCGTAATTTGTTTGATTTTTCTTTGCAATTAATCTATACCTAAATGTATCGTTTATCACAAGAGTTTTTTCCTGATTATAAAAACAGTATTTCCTAAACAAAGTCAGTATACCTTATATCAGTGTCATAGTTCAGTCGTTTGCCCTTAAACTTTCGTCAATATGGGAGTGATGTGTCAAATATTAATCAACAGAACCGAAGACGGTGTTTTCAAAGTAGGAGGACTAGTTACAGGAACATTGAAATATTTCATAGACAAGCCAACACACTACAAAAGTATAAGCATAACCTTTCTGGGAAAAGGAAGTTGTTGGTGGTCAGAATCAAGAGGCAAAACCACGACACATTACAGCAACAGCGAAGAATACATAAATCAGATAGTAAATATATATTTGGACAGAGAAAAGGAAGATTTTATATCTGGTGGATTTGAATACCCATTCCAGTTCCTGCTACCCGTCGATATACCACCATCTTTCAAGGACAGTACGTGTACCATAGAATATAAAATCATTGTGACATTTGCAAAAGCAAACAAAATTACGTCAAAAAAATATTTTGATGTAGAAATACCAGTGACCAGCTATGTTAACCCATGTTCATTAGAGCCAATGATGTTCTGTTTAAGGAAAAATATATTTTCTTTTAACAAAACAAATTCGAATCAAATCGATTTGAAAGGAGAAATAATTAAAACATGTGTAACTCCTGGTGAAAACATCCAAATAAGACTCACGGTAAACAATGACACAAATCTACAGATATTTGCAAAAACTGAACTCGTACATCGTTTGACTTACATAGCAAGTTGTGGTCACGAGAGCTCTCATGAAGATATTGTAAAAAATACCAGTACAATGACACCTGTAGCAGCAAATAGTGTCGTTAATCTAATGTGCGTTATTCCGACCTTTCAAAATTTATGTTCATTAGAACACACAAAAGTCATGATTGGTGAATATAAAGTCAAACTCATCGTTAAACCTCCGTTTCCCCATATGTTTCGTATGTTGTATATACCCGTAGCTATCGGACTAAGAAAACACGAGCTTGTAGTACCCGGCGCAGTTTACTATCAATATGATGGAGAACAACCTTCATGTTCATCAGTGTCTCCTCGTAATGGCACATTTGCAAGCCAAGATGAGCTAAAAGATTTCGAGAAATATGAAAAGGAAGGTTTTGTAAAAATTGACAGTGATAATTCAGATGAAGAAGATGAGGTAGATTTCGATATAAATGATAAATTAAAATTTGAAAAACTCGATATCAATGAATTCGAAGATAGCAGGGAAGAAAAAAATAATGACAAGGGCAGGCATAATAAAGAAGCACAATCCAGATGAAAAAAATAAAATCCTTCCAATTTCGATCATGGGTTATACTCTTTATTCAGAAAGAGGAACTACAGAATTCCTCTGAAATGTGAAATGTTAGAGTCGGGTTTTTAATGAATTAGTAATAGAGATGTTATGATTACATATAATTATATATTTGTTTATTAAGTTTATGAATGGTTTTATTACTTATATCATTTCCCTTTATTTGGTTATTAAAACTTTTCTGTGTAAAATTTTTAAAACCAATCTGTGAGCCTAATTGTCGAATTTAAAAACTTATTTGGAAACTCTTGTAATTTTGATGGTGTAGGAAGATTTTACAATAATAAACAATAATAATGAATCCGCAAGCCAGTTTGTGGCGAGATGTTGGGCAGTGGCGACACCACGGACCTGACTCCCGGGAGGTATCTTATTTTTCACCTCTGGTTAGTCCTCGTGACGAGCTGGAGTGATCACTGTTGAAGAACAAGCCCTCCCACCTCATTCTTGCCTTAATTGGCTGGCTTGAGTGGAGATTCGCAAGAGTAAGAGTTGAAGGAGACTCGGGGGAAGGATGTATCTCAGTAAAGTGCTGGTAGAGGTCTTGACCGGATTTCCAGGATTGCTCTGATATTCGTGGGATGCCTCTCCTTACCCAAGCAGCTTAACTTATGTTGCCCCCGTGTCGCTACATGCTAGCGGACAACCCAACCCATAACTCTATCAATTTTAACGACATTTCACTATAGTCTTGCATCGACTGGGGATTATCCTAGAGATATTGGCCGGTTGATGCCCTACCACATTTATATTAAAACTGTCCAACTTGCCTCTGCGAGTTGGCTACGGCTCTTCGTACGCCTTCCAAAGGTCCGGGATCCTATAGTCCCGTGAATGGAAAGGAACATACAAAAATGATTACATACCGAATGCAATTTTTATGTCCTAGGAAAAGTTTTGTGTGAGATCCTGAGATGAGCGGAGGCCTAATAGTTTAAAACTATGTAGTTTAATGTCATGCATAACTAATAAATGGAAATAAATGAATCAAATGCCATTTGTGGCACTTTTTATAATTGCTGCATGGCCACGTATTCGTAAATCCTCCGATGTCCTTACCATCAGGTAATCCGTATGCCCGTTTGCCGTCCAATCGAATAAAAAACGTAACACATAAGTCTTTGACGAGGAAAAGTGAACGTCTTAAGTCTGGGAGAGCCATGCTTCGGCATGAATGGGTCGGCTCGACCGGAGTGATACCACGGCCTCACAGAAAACCGGCGTGAAACAACCACAGTGTTGTGTTTCGCCGTGTGAGTGAGGTTACCGGAGGCCCAATCCTTCCCTTTCCCAATCCCTCCCCAGTTCCTAAATCTCCAAATCCCTAATCCCTAAAAGGTCGGCAACGCACTCGTAAATCCTCCGTTGCGGGTGTCCATGGGCGGCGCCGATTGCTTACCATCAGGTAATCCGTCTGCTCGTTTGCCGAGCTATTACATAAAAAAAAACGTCGTGTAGAATACCTTAACCTAGATATAACTTCTTAGCGTGGCTTGAAATTATCTGAGTTCCTCAGTACAAGCAGGTACGCGTGTAAGTCGTTAAACATAATAATTATAATAGTATTCTTTTATAAACAAAATGACCAACTTGTGATCTAGACTTATACAAGACAGCACTATCTTTGGCATTCTTGTATTGCCGGTAATTATATCTATGGGCAAAAGATAATTTGTGAGCATATCAAATCAATGAATCAGCTTTTGTTATATCAATACTTATATATACTATCTAATGCGTTATTTTACCTAAACGCCCAATTAGGTCCAAAGTCTAACATACTACGTTGCTTACATACGTCTTTTGGGGCTGTATCGCGACCCCGGCTAGGAGCAAAAGAAAGAACGAGGGAGGTTTTAGTCACTAAGAGGACTAACACTCCCTATCGCCCCCGACCAAGGCGGGAAAAGACGTCTGGTGATTTTTCCCATTTACAATACATCACATTGATGTATCTTGAAATACAAGATGGCCAGTATGAGTACAACGAACCCCACGTTTTTCGAAATGTCCCTCCAATAATGTTTCCTCAAAATACTTTTGGCGACAAACCTTCGAAGAACCTCAACGAAATTTTCAGTTAAGGGATACCCTTGATATTGATTTTTATTGTGCAAAATCCTGTTTAGATAAATAAACATGTCAGTGTGACGGTCAATACTACGTCGAAAATATTATAATCTTATCTACAACATGAGTGGTGCCAATATTGTGTATATCATTAATATCGGATCCTGTAAGAATGTACTTTATTTTTATCGTAATTTGTTTGATTTTTCTTTGCAATTAATCTATACCTAAATGTATCGTTTATCACAAGAGTTTTTTCCTGATTATAAAAACAGTATTTCCTAAACAAAGTCAGTATACCTTATATCAGTGTCATAGTTCAGTCGTTTGCCCTTAAACTTTCGTCAATATGGGAGTGATGTGTCAAATATTAATCAACAGAACCGAAGACGGTGTTTTCAAAGTAGGAGGACTAGTTACAGGAACATTGAAATATTTCATAGACAAGCCAACACACTACAAAAGTATAAGCATAACCTTTCTGGGAAAAGGAAGTTGTTGGTGGTCAGAATCAAGAGGCAAAACCACGACACATTACAGCAACAGCGAAGAATACATAAATCAGATAGTAAATATATATTTGGACAGAGAAAAGGAAGATTTTATATCTGGTGGATTTGAATACCCATTCCAGTTCCTGCTACCCGTCGATATACCACCATCTTTCAAGGACAGTACGTGTACCATAGAATATAAAATCATTGTGACATTTGCAAAAGCAAACAAAATTACGTCAAAAAAATATTTTGATGTAGAAATACCAGTGACCAGCTATGTAAACCCATGTTCATTAGAGCCAATGATGTTCTGCTTAAGGAAAAATATATTTTCTTTTAACAAAACAAATTCGAATCAAATCGATTTGAAAGGAGAAATAATTAAAACATGTGTAACTCCTGGTGAAAACATCCAAATAAGACTCACGGTAAACAATGACACAAATCTACAGATATTTGCAAAAACTGAACTCGTACATCGTTTGACTTACATAGCAAGTTGTGGTCACGAGAGCTCTCATGAAGATATTGTAAAAAATACCAGTACAATGACACCTGTAGCAGCAAATAGTGTCGTTAATCTAATGTGCGTTATTCCGACCTTTCAAAATTTATGTTCATTAGAACACACAAAAGTCATGATTGGTGAATATAAAGTCAAACTCATCGTTAAACCTCCGTTTCCCCATATGTTTCGTATGTTGTATATACCCGTAGCTATCGGACTAAGAAAACACGAGCTTGTAGTACCCGGAGCAGTGTACTATCAATATGATGGAGAACAACCTTCATGTTCATCAGTGTCTCCTCGTAATGGCACATTTGCAAGCCAAGATGAGCTAAAAGATTTCGAGAAATATGAAAAGGAAGGTTTTGTAAAAATTGACAGTGATAATTCAGATGAAGAAGATGAGGTAGATTTCGATATAAACGATAAATTAAAATTTGAAAAACTCGATATCAATGAATTCGAAGATAGCAGGCAAGAAAAAAATAATGACAAGGACAGCCACAATAAAGAAGCACAATCCAGATGAAAAAAATAAAATCCTTCCCATTTCGATCATGGGTTATACTCTTTATTCAGAAAGAGGAACTACAGAATTCCTCTGAAATGTGAAATGTTAGAGTCGGGTTTTTAATGAATTAGTAATAGAGATGTTATGATTACATATAATTATATATTTGTGTATTACGTTTATGAATTGTTTTATTACTTATATCATTTCCCTTTATTTGGTTATTAAAACTTTTCTGTGAGCCTAACTGTCGAATTTAAAAACTCATTTGGAAACTCCTGTAATTTTTCATGGTGTAGGAAGATTTTATAATAATAAACAAATAATAATGAATCCGCAAGCCAGTTTGTGGCGAGCTGTTGGGCAGTGGCGACCCCACGGACCTGACTCTCGGGAGGTGTCTTATTTTTCATCTCTGGTTAGTCCTCGTGACGAGCTGGAGTGATCACTGATGAAGAACAAGCCCTCCCACCTCATTCTTGCCTTAATTGGCTGGCTTGAGTGGAGATTCGCAAGAGTAGGAGTTGAAGGAGACTCGGGAGAAGGATGTATCTCAGTAAGGTGCTGGTAGAGGTCTTGACCGGATTTCCAGGATTGCTCTGATATTCGTGGGATGCCTCTCCTTACCCAAGCAGCTTAACGTATGTTGCCCCCGTGTCGCTACATGCTAGCGGCCAACCGAACCCATAACTCTATCAATTTTAACGACATTTCACTATAGTCTTGCATCGACTGGGGATTATCCTTAGGTGCACTTTTAAAGTGCATACTCGTACAGAGATATTGGCCGGTTGATGCCCTATCACATTTATATTAAAACTGTCCAACGGGCCTCTTAGAGTTGGCTACGGCTCTTCATACGCCTTCCAAAGGTCCGGGATCCTATAGTCCCGTGAATGGAAAGGAACATACAAAAATGATTACATACCGAATGCAATTTTTATGTCCTAGGAAAAGTTTTGTGTGAGATCCTGAGATGAGTGGAGGCCTGATAGTTTAAAACTATGTAGTTTAATGTCATGCATAAATAATAAATGGAAATAAATGAATCAAATGCCATTTGTGGCACTTTTTATAATTGCTGCATGGCCACGTATTCGTAAATCCTCCGATGTCCTTACCATCAGGTAATCCGTTTGCCCGTTTGCCGTCCAATCAGATAAAAAACGAAACACATAAGTCTTTGACGAGGAAAAGTGAACTTCTTAAGTGTGGGAGAGCCATGCTTCGGCATGAATGGGTCGGCTCGACCGGAGTGATACCACGGCCTCACAGAAAACCGGCGTGAAACAACCACAGTGTTGTGTTTCGCCGTGTGAGTGAGGTTACCGGAGGCCCAATCCTTCCCCTTCTCAATCCCTCCCCAGTTCCTAAATCTCCAAATCCCTAATCCCTAAAAGGTCGGCAACGCACTCGTAAATCCTCCATTGCGGGTGTCCATGGGCGGCGCTGATTGCTTACCACCAGGTAATCCGTCTGCTCGTTTGCCGAGCTACCCTATTAGATAAAAAAAAACGTCGTGTAAAATACCTTAACCTAGATATAACTTCTTAGAGTGGCTTGAAATAAGCTGAGTTCCTCAGTACAAGCAGTTACGCGTGTAAGTCGTTAAACATAATAATTATAATAGTATTATTTTATGAACAAAATGACCAACCCGTGATCTAGACTTATACAAGACAATTTACTTCATCACTATCTTTGGCATTCTTGTATTTCCGGTAATTATATCTATGGGCAAAAGATAATTTGTGAGCATATCAAATCAATGAATCAGCTTTTGTTATATCAATACTTATATATACTATCTAATGCGTTATTTTACCTAAACGCCCACTTAGGTCCAAAGTCTAACATACTACGTTGCTTACATACTTCTTTTGGGGCTGTACCGCGACCCCGGCTAGGAGCAAAAGAAAGAACGAGGGAGGTTTTAGTCATTAAGAGGACTAACACTCCCTATCGCCCCCAACCAGGGCGGGAGAAGACGTCTGGTGATTTTTCCCACTTACAATACATCACATTAATGTATCTTGCAATACAAGATGGCCAGTATGAGTACAACGAACCCCACGTTTTTCGAAATGTCCCTCCAATAATGTTTCCTCAAAATACTTTTGGCGACAAAACTTCGAAGAGCCTCAACGAAATTTTCAGTTAAGGGATACCCTCGATATTGATTTTTTTTGTGCAAAATCCTGTTTAGATAAATATACACGTCAGTGTGACGGTCAATACTACGTCGAAAATATTATAATCTTATCTACAACATGAGTGGTGCCAATATTGTGTATATCATAAATATCGTATCCTGTAAGAATGTACTTTATTTTTATCGTAATTTGTTTGATTTTTCTTTGCAATTAATCTATACCTAAATGTATCGTTTATCATAAGAGTTTTTTCTTGATTATAAAAACAATATTTCCTAAAAAAAGTCAGTATACCTTATAAAAGTGTCATAGTTCAGTCGTTTGCCTTCAAACTTTCATCAATATGGGAGTGATGTGTCAAATATTAATCAACAGAACCGAAGACGGTGTTTTCAAAGTAGGAGGACTAGTTACAGGAACATTGAAGTATTTCATAGACAAACCAACACACTACAAAAGTATAAGCATAACCTTTCTGGGAAAAGGAAGATGTTCGTGGTCAGAAACAAGAGGCAAAACCACGACTCATTACAGCAACGGCGAAGAATACATAAATCAAATAGTAAATATATATTTGGACAGAGAAAAGGAAGATTTTATATCTGGTGGATTTGAATACCCATTCCAGTTCCTTCTACCCGTCGATATACCACCATCTTTCAAGGATAGTACGTGTACCATAGAATATAAAATCATTGTGACATTTGTAAAAGCTAACATAATTACGTCAAAAAAATATTTTGATGTAGAAATACCAGTGACCAGCTATGTTAACCCATGTTCATTAGAGCCAATGATGTTCTGTTTAAGGAAAAATATATTTTCTTTTAACAAAACAAATTCGAATCAAATCGACTTGAAAGGAGAAATAATTAAAACATGCGTAACTCCTGGTGAAAACATCCAAATAAAACTCACGGTAAACAATGACACAAATCTACAGATATTTGCAAAAACTGAACTCGTACATCGTTTGACTTACATAGCAAGTTGTGGTCACAAGAAGACTCGTGAAGATATTGTAAATAATACTAGTACCATGTCACCTGTAGCAGAAAATAGTGTCGTTAATCTAATATGCGTTATACCGACTTTACACAATTTAAGTTCATTAGAACACACAAAAGTCATGATTGGTGAATATAAAGTCAAACTCGTCGTTAAACCTCCGTTTCCCCATATGTTTCGTATGTTGTATATACCAGTAGCTATCGGACTTAGAAAACACGAGCTTGTAGTACCAGGCGCAGTGTACTATCAATATGACGGAGAACAACCTTCATGTTCATCAGTGGCTCCACGTAATGACATATTTGCAAGCGAAGATGAGAAAAAATATTTCGAGAAATATGAAAAGGTAGGAATTGAAAAAAATGAGAAAGAAGATTCAGATGAAGAAGATGGGATAGATTTCGATATAAACGATAAATTGAAATTTGTAAAACTTGATATCAATGAATTTGAGGATAGCAGGGAAGAAAAAAATAGTGACAAGGACAGCCGTAATAAAGAAGCACAATCCAGATGAATAAAAAAAAAATCCTTCCAAATTCGATCGTGGGTTAATACTCTTCATTATAAAGAGGAACTACAGAATTCCTCCGAAATGTGAAATGTTAGAGTCAGGTTTTTTAATGAATTAGTAATAGAGATGTTATGATTACATATAATTATATATTTGTGTATTACGTTTATGAATTGTTTTATTACTTATATCATTTCCCTTTATTTGGTTATTAAAACTTTTCTGTGAGCCTAACTGTCGAATTTAAAAACTCATTTGGAAACTCCTGTAATTTTTCATGGTGTAGGAAGATTTTATAATAATAAACAAATAATAATGAATCCGCAAGCCAGTTTGTGGCGAGCTGTTGGGCAGTGGCGACCCCACGGACCTGACTCTCGGGAGGTGTCTTATTTTTATATATATTACTATAATAACTATCGTTATATATTTATATATGAATTAAATTATAACAAATAATAATATTATTTACTTTATCTTTTTTATTTTCTATTACTTATTCTTACATACAATATTTTGTAATAGCGACACTCATGAAGTTAAAAGTGTTTTAAGTTTTACTGGTTTTTGGAAGAAATACTTTGAGCCTTCAGTAAACTCATTCACACGGCAAAATACGGTACATTGGTTATTAAACTGGTTTTCTGTGTGGCCGTTCTATCATTCTGTAATTCACGAAGAAACATGGCTCACCGAAGTTTTAAAACATTAAACAACAAATGATACAAAACATTGAAGAAACGTCCAAAAATAGCAAATGAACCAATAGCTACTAATCTGATGATATGCGCTTTATCTTATCAGAAAATTTTCATCCAGTTGTTAAATCTACATATTGATAGCAACCTTTATGTAAATTTTGGTTTTTTTTTTTCTTACTGTGTACCTGATTTTTTTATATTTACAAAGCATTTCACTAACATTAATTCCTTTCTACACATTCACATGAACATTGTTGATTTGTAATTTACACTCTGTGTTCATGCTAAAAAGGAATATTTTTATACGTTATGAGTTACCTCGTCATACGTTAAGTTGGTATCAATATATTGATAATATTTTGATAAGTACTGAATATAAAACCTGCTGTAATGTTTGTTTGACTCAGTATAATTTTAGTAGCGACTTTGTGTAGTAGTTTGTTGCCTTCTTGCTTTAATATAGTAAAACTGTCAATACTATGGGTGTCACCTGTCAGATATTAATCGACAGAACTGAACATGGTGTTTTCAAAGCAGGAGGATCAGTGACGGGATCATTGAAATATTTCATAGACAAACCAACACAGTTCAGAAGAATATCCATGTGCTTTCTGGGAAAAGGGGAATGTCAGTGGTCTAGTGATTCCGATTCCGATGATGATGGTACAGATTACAGTAATTGTGAAGAATATTTAAATCAAATATTCAACGTGTATTTGGGTACAAATAAAAAAGATCTCTTATCAGGTGCCTTCGAATACCCATTTCAGTTCTTGCTGCCAATCGACATTCCACCATCTTTCAAAGACGACATTTGTACCATAAAATACAAAATCACAGTAACATTTGTCAAAGCAAACTTTTTGAAAACGAAGAAAAACTTTGATGTTGAAATACCTGTGACCAGCTACGTAAACCCATGTTCGCTAGAGCCAATGGTGATCAGTTTAAAGAAAGATCTGTCTTCTTTTAAAACTTCCAATAAAATTGAAATAAAAGGTGAAATAAGTAAAACGTGTGTTGCTCCTGGCGAAAATTTTCAAATGACACTAACAGTTAATAATGATACAAAACTAGAAATATTCGTTAAATCTGAACTTGTCAATCGTGTGATTTATATATCAAGTTGTAATCACAAGAAAGTTCGTGAAAATACTGTAGAAGATACATGTACAATTACTTCTGTTGCGGCTAATGGTGTTGCAAATCTATTATGTGTGGTGCCGACGTATACCAACCTAAGTTCCATACAACATACAAAAGTTATGATACGTGAATATAAAGTAAAAATTACGGCTAAACTTCCTTTTCCCCACATCAATGCTGTTTTAGAAGTTCCAGTCGTTGTTGGTTCTAGGAAACATGAGTTTTTGGTACCAGCCGCAATCTACAGTCAGTATCAAGAAGAGCCACCATCATATTCATCAATACCAGCTCAAGATGTTAGTTTTGTAAACAAAGATAATAATGAAGAAGGTTTTAGCAAATATGATTCTAACAAAAACGAGAAGCAAGAGCTGAATGAAAACGATGATCCAGATTATGAGGGAAATGTAACTTCAAAGACAAAACAGTAAAGACACTAAGTGACATAGATTAGAAGAAAGTAATGAAAAACGTTTTAATTATTATGTTATCATTATCAATCAAGTAGAACAAAGTTCCCAGTCCCGTTAACTCCTGGCTATATGATAGATGATTATGTTTTTTTCACAAGCTTCTATTGAACTTGCAATGTTATTGCAATATTAGTGAAGTGAAATTTTGGAAATAAATTTTAAAGCAGACATCTTCAATCGATTGAGGTGTTTTGTATTATAAAACGTTAGTTTATATGGCTAATTTTTTGATTATTCTAAGTCTATAAAAAGTGTTCTTAGTGAGCCAACTTATAAACCTTGTTTTTAAAAGGTTTTTCATTTCAATTTATTTTGTTAGTGACAGCAAACTCATTTTATTTTGAATCTGTTAAATGTATAGTTTAGTGTCATAATCTTATGATAATGTATTAAAATCTGTATCTAAAATATAATGAAAAAATAAAGTCTTGTTTTGAAGAACTGTTTTATTATACGTCAATCGATATGCCCTATCTAAATAAGGTGGTACGCAATAATCTGATAACGATATTTCTGTATAGAAATAATCAGCTCAGTGCAAATGACTTAGTATGCTTTAACACGTTGATACTGTTCACACGTTTACTCTTAGTTTCAAAGTCATGGGAGTTATGTGCCAGATATTACTAGACCCAACTGAGAATGGCATTTACAGAGCAGGAGGACTAGTGACAGGAACATTGAAGTACTTCATAGACAAACCAACACAGTACCGAAGAATATCCATGGTCCTTATTGGGAAAGGAAAATGTATATGGACAGAACATTCCAATAGAAGAAACAGGGCACATGCCACAAACACCATTTATTACACCAACAACGAAGACTACACGAATCAGATGACGAATATAAATTTAGGAAAGGAAGAGTTTATATCTGGCGCCTTTGAATATCCGTTTCAGTTCCAGCTGCCCATCAATATACCTCCATCGTTCAAGGATCAAATTTGTACTATTGAATATAAACTGACTGTGTCATTTTTAAAAACGAACTCCATGACACCACAACGGGAATTTGATGTTGAAATACCCGTGACCAGCTACGTGATGTCATTTTCATTGGAACCATTGTTACTTACACTGGAAAAAAAACTCTCTTTTAAAGTAAAAAATAAAATTACTGTAAATGGAGGAATAAGTAAAACGTTCTATACTTCCCGGTGAAAAGACCGAATTGGCAATTACAGTAAATAATGATTCAAGTGCACAAATATTTATAAGAACTGAACTAATTTATTTTTTGACTTACATATCAAGTGTAAATCATAGGAGAAATCGAGAAGAAGTCGTGAGGAATACTACTACGAAGACTGCGGTAGCTGCTAAAAGTGTTTCAAATCTAATATGTGTAGTGCCGACATATCATAATTTATGTTCTATACAACATTCAAGAATCCTGATAGGTGAATACAAAGTTCGAATTAAAATTGAAGTTCCTTGGCCCCATCGTGATGAAAGTTTAGACATACCAGTGGTTATAGGTCCGAAAATGCCTGAGTACGCAGCAGCAGTAGCAGTAGTCTACTGACGGATGGCGGATAACTACTGTCAGGTTTATTAATGTTTGCATAGAATAGTAGAGATATAAAAGCAGATAATAATGTGAAGGAACAGAATATGAAGATGATGAACATTACAACAAAAACGATTTATAGAAAGATGAGAATAACGATGAAACATTTGAAAACGCTGGTAAGATAATGTTGAAAAGTCTGATTGAAAACATGAATTGATTTGATTTGATGTCCTGCTGAGACAAATATTACTAAACTAAACTATTTCATTTTATAAACTATAGCGGATAACGTTTCCGAACGTCTCCTTAGCCCTGGTCGTAAGCGGTCCAATAGGGGCAAGCCGCCCTACCGCTATTCGCCAGCGCGATAGCATTTTAAAATACGCGCCAAGTGGCGTTATGTTACTGGCCGCTGATTGGCCGACAGAGTATTAGAAAAGTTATGGCGGACTTTACAGTTTTGTGCGTGTGTCTCTTGTAATTTTTAGATAGTTTTATTAAAGTTTATGCCGCGTAACAGGACTTTTCACTGTCACCGACCCACCCCGACTACATCCTGGCGCTCCAACGTGTGTTTAGTATAAAACAAGGGGTCAAAGTGTTATTGTTCGCGGATCAAACTTTTTTCGTTCGTTGCAAGTTCGTTCATGTCGAAAAGTTAGGTATAAAACGACCGACAAGTGCTAAAAACTGTGTATGGACAGTGACTTTGCTATTGTTTTGTGTCTACGAGTGGTTTTTGCTGGTTGGTACAACCACGAGCCGTACTTTTGTTACTTTTGTCGAAAAGTAGGTACTTATTGGTTTGCAAAATGCCGCGAAGACGCTAGTCGTTATATACCGACGCCAACGAGTCTGGACACGAGGACTCCGAACCGGAACAGTCAAGCAACATTACGATGCCACAAGACGTCCTTGCCAAGCTGTTGACATCAATCCAACAATCGCAAGCAGAGTTTTGTCAACAACTTTTACGCGAAGTTCGTTCGTCGACGCCATTGATTTCGTCAGCCGACGCAAGTACATCCATCGCCACCGCCAACGCCGCTGCGGCTATTATGAAGTCCACGGCAAATTTTTCGAAATGCACTTCAAAGTTTAGTGGCAGTCCGGAGGAATCCGTTGACAACTTTATAGATGCAATCGAGGTTTACAAGTCATGCCTAAACATAAGCGACGAGAACGCTCTCTTAGGTATGTCGATGCTGCTCACTTCATCGGCGGGAACATGGTGGCAAGGTGTTAAGGGCACGACAAAAACGTGGGAAGAAGCCATCACGCGATTACGGAGTGCGTATGGCGAGCGTCGCCCACCATTTCGCATTTATATCGAACTGTTTTCACAGATACAAGGCACTGAAAACACGGATTTGTTTATATCAAAAGTTCGTGCCTTGTTCGCGAAGTTACCACAAAGAGATTTATGCGAACGCGTCGAGTTGGACATGGCTTACGGATTATTGGATCGTCGTATCAGGAAGCGCGTCGACACCACGCTATACGCTCTCCTAAAGGCCAAAGGTCATCCTATGTCCTCCAGTAGGGAAAATGTAAAACTAGCGGATGGTGTACTTAGGTTAATGAATGTACTAACTACCGACTACAAAACTCTGTAATCATAATTATTTGAGGATATTAAATTATAATGTTAATTACAATTTTATCTCTTTCTATGTTGACCTTAATAAACGTATATGCGTTCCCAATTATTCATTTTGACGAGAAAAATAGAAGAAGAAAAATTTTAGTTAATTGAAAGATCCTAAATATGTATTGCATTGCATGCACAAGCCTTTTGTCTCGCAGATCTGCGTTTGTTTAAATTGAAGTATTTATAGCAATACTAGCATATCACATTTATTGTTTATTTTAGCATGATTTATGAACATATAAAATAAATTTTACAAAATAAGCTTAATCTTTTCTATTGGATTTTATTGTAAAACCAAGAAAATACTTTTCATTACCTGTTTCATTGGTCACGGTACTTCAACTTGACTATGAAATCCGTAGTATAGTAATTCTAATATCAATTGCAATAACAATTACCTAATAGATTGTACTTCTGAAAATTGGAATCCTTTAAAACCAGGTCCTACCACGTCCCTACCCAACACCAAAAACCCCAACACAAATTATGGAAAATTATAGCATATCAAATCAATAAAATTATATTTTGCGATATCTTAACATTTGATATCATTTATCAATTACACGTATAATCAGATAACATTGCTGCTAAATAAAAGGCTTTTCTTCTATCCGTATGAATCAGTCTTATCTAAACAGTGCAAAAGTACAGTCGTTTGTTCCTATAGTTCAATAAATTTTGGACATTATGGGAGTAACGTGTCAGATATTAATCGATAGACCTGAAGACGGTGCTTTCAAAGCAGGAAGATTAGTGACAGGAACATTGAAGTATTTCATAGACAAGCCAACAAAGTACGAGAGAATATCCATGTGTTTTCTGGGAAAAGGAGATTGTGAATGGACAGAAACTGATGCCAAAAATACACTTTATTACCAAAACAAAGAGAATTATATTAATCAAATCGTTAATGTATATGTGCGTAGAAAAAGTGAAGATTTTATATCAGGCGGTTTTGAATACCCAATCCAATTTCTGTTGCCCATCGATATACCGCCGTCTTTTTATGATAAGATTTGCACCATAGAATACAAAATTATTGTGACATTTGCGAAGGCCAACTCTTTTTCAAAAAAGAACTTTGACGTACGAATACCTGTGACCAGCTACGTAAACCCTTGCACATTGGAACCAATAACTTTTGGTTTGAAGAAAAATCTCTCTTTTAGAATTAACAATAAAATTAACGTGAAAGGAGAAATAAGCAAAACATGTATTAAACCTGGTGATACCATCCATATGACACTTACAGTAAACAATGGTACAGATCTAGCAGTAGTTATTAAAACTGAACTTATTAAACGTTTAACTTATATATCAAAGGGTAACCACAAGAAATATCATGAAGAAGCCGTGAAAAATACTTGTACAATATCAACTGTAGCGGCAAATGCAGTTGCAAATTTGGTATGTTTAGCCCAGACATATCACGATCTATTTTCCATACAACACGCAAAAGTAATGAAAGGTGAATATATGATCAGGCTTAAAGCTAAATTACCTTTTCCTCATGCCAATGCTGTGTTAGATATACCAATTGTTATTGGTCAAAGAAAACACGAGGTAATAGCACCAGCTGCGGTTTACTATGAATATAATAGAGAACAACCATCAACTTCGGCCATGTTGGATCAAAATAACAAATACAGAAATGAGGAAAATTTGACAAAATACGAAAAAGAAGATTTAAATGAAGACAGTGCAAAATACATTAAAGAAGTCAATGGAAAAGGTATTGTGCAAGAAGAAATATAAAAATGATGAGTGTTACGTGTCAACTGAAATGATTGGATTTAAACAAACGAAGACAAATATTGATAAAATTAAATATGATAATGACAACAAAGAACTAAAACCCAGGTGTCAAACAAAATATTTTTGATATAAAAAAAAACAGATGGAGATTAAGACAATAAACAAGGTCAACTCAAAATTAAAAACATGTGCGAGAAAATTTACACATAAACAGAGTATTGTAAGTGCACTAATTATAAATAAATTATTTGATGGTTACAATATAGTTTTATTATTATTGTTTTTTTGTCGCGTATTTCATGTATGGATGATGATGATGACGACGATTTCATGTATTCTTTATGTCATCCATAAAAGCTATTTAAGATATGGCCCCGAGCATGGAAATGAACTGAGTAGTATTTAGTCAGTAGTAGTCTGACACTCCCTCTCGTCACATCCAAGTGAGAGAACTAATTCGACGATCTACTTAAGTTATGTTGAATTTCAGAGTTAATCCCAATAATATTGATTTAAAAAAACCTGTTCACTTTATTCACTGGCTTGTTGGTGGCAAATATGTAGTTGAAACATTCATCCCTTTATTTGTACTACTTACCAACAAGTTCCTACAGATACCTATAGAGCAACAGATTCCATTTTATTGTTAAGTGATTAGCTCACCACAGGCGTTTCTTAGTAATATTTTGTTAAATAATTTGTTAATAATAATAGTTCCTTAGGACTTTTTATTTCAATATACACACGCTATATTTACTACTAGAGATCGACCCTTGTGTGTGCACAAAGATCATACAAGGCAAGACCATGATATATTAATTCTTTTAATCTTGACTTGTACAGCTGGTGTGTGTATGTTTGTCAAACTGTAACCTGTGCTTATGGTACTAGGTCTTAACACAAATGTCTCTATTTTGTCAATGATTATTAGGAAAACTTACCCACATAAAACTTATGTTTTGAAAATGTTGTCTCTCGAAATCTCCTCGTCTATCGGCTTGGTGAAAAATTACAAACAACTTAAGCCATTAACTCCAACAATAAACACGCGCAAGGGCATTGCCGGTCTCTTAGGAGCTAAGAGTTACGAAGATTGGAGGATTTAGAGTGTCCAGCAATGACTTTTTTGAACAAAAAATGATTCATACTGATATTTATGACACTAACGATAAGATTATTTTGAAACTTAATTATCATATAAACACTAAAACAAAGCGTTGATTAGATAATTTAATGCTTGGTGATCTTCATTTTAACAAAACCGCTGATATTAAATAAGTAATAAGTTGATGACATTTAACTAGCAAGTCTATTTACAAAAAGAAATATGGCAGTCATTGTAGGTGCTCAGGAAAACACAAGGAAAATAACTGATCAATAATGCCAAACCAAAGGTAACCGTATATTTACACATAAACAATATACAGATATTGATTTCAAAACTATTATGGAAGGTGCTTTGTAATCTCCTAACAGCAAAACACATTAGCGTTTTTTGTCCGAAACAAATATAGGATTTGACCATTGTCATATCTAAAACAGGTTTACTAACTTTGCGGCCCACAATAGTAAACAAACTTGTCCAACAACTACATAAGATAAGATATAGGAATTTATAATTAATGAAACCAGCTTTCGCACTATTAACAATATTTATTAATCAGGTTGAAAATACACACGTAACTATGTCACCGAACGAAGTGAATTGTAAATCTTACTTGGTCTACAAAAAATACAAGTTTGTTTGAGTAGTCGTTCAGACAAATGGAATCTTACTGAATCTCTTAAGAATAATACTTAAAATAAAATTTTATTAGCTTACAAAGGTGGGTTACTTATCCAATTAAATTAATATCAATATCATGTTTATTACCTTTTTAGGACTTCTCCCTTTAGTCATGGCGACATCATATTTCAATATCTCTGCTTTCCTTATCGCTCATTGCCTCAGAATACGCTGGAGGAGTTTCGGTCACCTTTGGACATTCCATTGCCTCGAAATCTCCTATCTGCACAGGTATTTCTAAAACGACATCTCTAAGAGGAATCGGAACCTGAGCTGTTATGGAAACTACGTAATCCCTCGATACTAGCTTAGAGTTTTGTACAGATAGTATATCTGTTGGAACAGTCAGATCTAGGGGTATGACTTTAGTTGCTCCCCTTTTTATAGATGAAGTTCTGCTCTCACAATTCATTACATCATCATAAAACTTGATGTCTCCATGTCCTTCAGGCTTAAGAGTATACACTTCCATTAATTTAACTTCAACACCTTTCACTTTGACATATGAATCATTTATAATTTCTGACTCTATTTCGATCTTACCACCATTGGGGATTACAGAGTTAAGAATATTTGCTTTTATTGCAACCGTACCAATTTTACTCATAAAAAACTTTCTTTTTTCACCATACATCACCGGTTCCATTGACAATTTTGGCGTTATAGATGACACTACGGTGATTTTTTTGCGAAAATGTTTAGTCTCGTTAAAAAATCCTGGTTTATCAAATTTGATTCGAATGTAATATTTAATGTTACATACCACACAGTACAGTTCATGTATCTTCTCATATTTCAATGATGATGGTATTTTCTCTGGCAATTTAAACCTGAATGGTATTTCATAATTACCAGCAGGTTTTGTTAAACTCTTGTCTTGAACAATTTCATTAGAATCAACATATATTTCTTCGGCTGTGTACGTGTTAACCTTTTTATTATATTTTTTTATTAGTGTCAGATCACCCATACCTTTTAATGAGACAATTATCCTTTCTATTTCCATTGGTTCATCGAGTGAGTATTTAATTATTCCAGAAATAACTTCTCCACAGCTAAAAGTTTCTTCTGGTGGTTTGTTCAATTGAATTTGGCAGGAAACACTCATAGTTCACGTATTGATTATATTAATTTTTATTGTATTTTAGTAACGTTTGCACACTTTCAGTTATTTAAACGAATTGAGAGATTGACATAACTTTTGTTTTATCACACCGAGAGAATGATAATCTAACCAATGTCAGATAACAAGCTATCATAATATTTGATAATGTTGAATCTCCATTATTTATCTCTCAGCCGACCGGAGCAAGAGAAGGAGTGGTTCTTAGTCAGCAAGAGACTGACACTCCCTCTCGCCCTACTCAGGGTGAAAAATTTATTCGATGATTTATGATTTTCCTCCTAAAAAATCTAACTAATAAACTTGGAAATGCATAATTATAACATATGAGTGTGCGGTTTTCATTACGACTTTCATAAACATGAACTTTTATTAAAATCGGTTTAGTTTCAGCGCGAATTGGTCGGCTCAACCGGAGCGATACCACGTCCTCACACAAAACCGGCGTGAAACAACCACAGCGTTGTGTTTCGCTGTGTGAGTGAGGTTACTGGAGGCCCAATCCTTCCCCTTCCCCAATCCCTCCCCAGTCCCTAAATCTCCAAATCCCTCATCCCTAAAAGGTGGACAACGCACTCGTAACTCCTCCGTTGCGGGTGTCCATGGGCGGTGCTGATTGCTTACCATCAGGTAATCCGTCTGCTCGTTTGCCGACCAATTACAGAAAAAAGTTTTCATGATTTTTTTCTTGTAAGTTTCTATGAAAAGCCGTGATAGATACGTAAATGTTCTTAATATACAAACGTATGCAATAACTTGAGAAATACACAATCTTTTTAGGTCGCAATTTAAATATTACATCGATACTCTTAGATAAAATGCCGCGATTTAAAATTATAAATTTATTCGAAGCATTGGCACACCAGTATTTCTTCAATCTGACATTCTAATGATGTATTGGAAACGTTGTTGTAATTTTGTATCTAGATCGATCGATCTTAGAATTTGCTCAAGTCTAAATCTTATAAAATAATCCTCATGTTTAACCTGTGTTGCTCCAGTTTCTATTGAAGAAATTTTAGTCTTGCAGTCTAGCCCATTCTCATAAAACTTTACAAAAATCACCTTTACCATAATTTTAAAAGATACATCCCGCGATGACTTCCTTAGCGTGGAATAGTGACTTCCTGCGGGTTTTTGGTCAAAAACTATCCTATGTCCTTTCACGAGTTCCAAACTATGTCTGTACCAAATTTCACATAAATCGGTTCAGTAGTTTAGGTGTGAATAAAAGACAGACGGGTTACTTTCGCATTTATAATATTATTTAGGATATCACATTAATGGAGAAATAAGAAAGAGTGGGTAGTAGAGGTTTATTAAAACATTAATGTTTGTTTATTGATGTCAGTTTCATAAAGAATCATCTAATTTAATCATGTTCACACTAGACACATCTTGCAGTTTCTGCACCGACTTAGAAATCTAAATATCGCATCGTTATCATCTTCAGAAATGATTCATAGAGCTCTTATCAATTGAAAACAATTGATCACAACAAGTGGTTTGATGAATAATAAAAAGTGTCAGTCAAATGAAAATATAAAATGTGTCAACACTTTAGAAGTGCTAAGACTATTCTATAATATAGGTACTAACTAACACGACAAACTAAATCAAATATAACATATTATGTTTTTTTTATATTCTGAAAGCCTCTAAGCCTTCCCTGCATATCCAATAATATTTCTAGAACACGATAAGTCATGTCGATTCAACCTTTTTCGAGCTATAGCGAGACTAACGAACAACAATAATTCATTTTTATAATTATATAAGATTAAAATATAAGAAAGTTACGTGTGTGATATCACTTAGTAACACTTTCTAATGTCTTGTGAATATTTTTGATTTATACAGTCACTACAAAAAAGTCACTCCTCTTCTTCATCACTTGAATTATGTTTTTCACCCATAGCCTCCCAGTACGAAGGTAGACCATCATTTAGGTCCTCTTTTTGTACAAGGTCTCCTATCTGTACAGGTATTTTTAATACCACATTTCTATGAAAGAATGGTAGATTAGCGGTTATTTTAACAGCATAATCTTTTGATACCATAGCAGAATGTTGCAAGGAAGTTTTATCTGAAGGTACATCAATGTTGAACGATATTGCTTGTGTAGAACCACTTTGTATTGAGTCTGTCTTGCTCTCACAATTTGTTATTTCATCATAGAACTTCAATGTATTATGTCCTTTGGCCTTAACTTTGAGCACCTCTATAAGTTTGATTTCAACATTTTTTATAACAATATTAGTATCATTTTCAATTTCACTTTGAATTTCAATTCTTCCGCCTATTGGTATTACGGAATTGAGAATATTTGCTTTCATAGTTACTGTCTTACTATTGCTTGGACATAGTTGAAATAATTTGCTCCGCTTTTCATGCATAGCAGGTTCCATGGGTAGTTTCGGGGTTAAAGTTGACACAACATTGATTTCTTTACCAAAATGTTTGGTCAAATGTATTAGCCCTGGCCTGTAGATTTTCATATGAATGTAATATTTGATGTTGCAGATGACCCGGTGTCTCGTGGTAATTTTTTTGTAATTGAAAGTTGGTGGTATTTTTTCTGGTAACTTAAATTTGAATTGTAACTCGTGTTGTCCAGCTTCTAGAGAAGAGTGTCCTTGCATTATCTTGTCGATGTCAACGTAAACTTCTCGACTGCTGTATCTTCTATTTCGTTTGCGATGTCGCCTTAGTACTTTTAAGTGGCCTCCTCCTTTAAGAGAAACGGTGATGCTCTCTGTTGCCATTGGTTCATTTAAAACATACCTTATTATACCAGATACTTCTTCTCCGCCATGATATGATCCAGTTTTATTTAAATGTATTTCACAAGAAACACTCATTTTGTTACACTTTACTTTCACAATCTTATTCCAATCCTATATTTGCACCAGTCCTTATTCGTGTAATTTACTTAAGTTTTTAAACTATTACGCATAAGATTCAATATTGTTTGTGACTTTTTCAGGTAATGGACAACGAAACACTTAAGCGAACGTCAAAAAACAATGCACAAACCAAGTCTGGCTAGCTATATTCCTAGCTACATACTAAATGTTCTCATCAACATACTATATACATTTTATTCTTTCTTTAAATCTACAACCGGTTATGTATTAAGTTTTACGGAACATTGAACCTTAACACTTGGACTTAAAGTAGAAATAACTTTAGCTGTAGTATTCACATTAATTGCAATCACTGACCAAAATACTAATAATACCTTATGTCCGATAACCAGAAATAAACTGATTCGTTCGGATATTCTCCTCCTGTGTTTAGTCTGTGTGTATGAATGTGTGATGAACTCACTCACACTACATATTTATAATTATTGGAAAAAAAATTAATAAAAAATGTTCTTTGCATTTACCAAGACACTATTTTAATACAGACTTTTATAAAGTTAACGTATTAGTTTGAAAAGTATATAATATTTATGGTTTAATAGGAGTAGATGAAAAAAAGTTTGCTTTGATTCACCAAAAATTAGTTCACTTATACATCAGTATCGAAATTATCTAGACTTAACATAGAGCCACTTAGCACACTAGACTACAATACAGATAATGTCCTTCACGAGTGAAAGAGACAGGCGTATTACTTCGTCTTTATCATTGTGCGATCTAAATACTTAATTAATGCTAATGTTTACGATGTACTGTTTCATATTGGAAACCCAAAATATTGCTATCTAGTTTATATTTTTATGTTTATTTTTGTATGGTATATGGTGGCAAACGAGCAGACGAATTACCATATTTCGGCACGAATGGGTCGGCTCGACCGGGACTGATACCATGGCCTCACAGAAAACCGCCGCGAAACAACCACAGCGTTGTGTTTCGCTGTATCACTGAGGTTAAGGAGGCCGAATCTTTCCCTCCCCCAATCTCTCCCCAATCCCTAAATCTCAAAATCCCTAATCTCTAAAAGGTTGGCAACTTATTCGTAACTTCTCTGTTATGGGTATCTATGGGCGGCGATGGTTGCTTACCATCAGGTAATCTGTCTGCTTGTTTGGCGACCTATAACATAAAAATAAAAAGTCAGATAAGTAATCGCTGTAGTTGTCCGTGTTGATTTTGTCAATCTCATATCACCTTTGCCCCTCCATTTTGTTTTTATTAGTCGTGACGTCACACGTTTATTAACATCGTATTAGCCACTGCATGATACACTGCAGCTGGGATTGCGGGGCATGCAAAAAAGTACCGTGGCCTCGGTTTAGATCAGGAGAAGGTACGGGGTCGTTTTTAGTCAGTAAGAGTTAACGAGAGAAGTAATTTAATGATTAAAAGCCATTGCATGATTGGAGCAGTGACTTTGAAACTGGAATAGCAGTATCGGAGCGTTCGATTTTCAAATGGAAAATAATTTCTTCGTGATCCAAAGTGTTTTTTTAATGTTATATGTCAAGCAGACGCATCCTTTTGTATACTTATTAAGAGCATTTACGTATGACGGCTTTCCATACAAACTTACAAGAAAAAAACATGTAAACTTTTTATTTACCTGATGATAAGCAATCAGCACCGCCCATGGACACCCGCAACAACGAAAGAGCTGCCTTAGCTGACCTTTTGGGGATTAGGGTGTTGGAGATTTTGGGATTTGGGAAGATATTGGGTCTCCGATACCCTCATTCACACGCTGTGGTTGTTTCACGCCGGTTTTCTGTGAGGCCGTTCTATCGCTCGGGTCGAGCCGACTCATTCGTGCCGAAGCTTGGCTCTCCCACACTTGTGTTGCTTGTCGTCCGAGTGTTTTAATAAAATATGAGTTCTTATGAGAATGTTTGTAAATGGACTAACATCACACAACAAATTCCTTATAATATAGGACCAGAGGAACTAAGGAATATGTGCTACATAACTGAACAATAATAATATAAATATACCTAATAATAAATTGTTCTTGATGTCCTATCACATTTACGTACTCCTACGCCTTCCAAAGGCCCGGGATCCTGTGTTGAAAGAAAAATAATTGTTTTTTAATAATGTGAAATTATCCCACTTTGCCAATCCACCTTTATCCGCCATGGTTAAACTTTCTCCGTGTGAGAACAGGCCTTGCTCAGCATAAAGCACTTAGAGGCTAATGATAATGATGATGACGTATTCAGCTCCTTTTCAAACTCTTTACCAGCTACTGAGAATTACAGGAATTTCGAACAACAGATTTTTTCTGCTCGTTTGCCTCCTATTCAATAAAAAAAACATTATTTTATTTTCTACTAGCGGACCGCTCCTGCTGTGCGAAGCATACGCAAGGGTAAGTATCCGACTACCCCGTCAGTCATTTGTTTTTTTATCAAACAGCCACAGCACCGAAAGTATTATTAATTCCCGATATTCCCCTTCACTTTTCTAAAGTTTTCTTTCGTAAGAACCTTCTTATAAAAATAACGAACATAACGAAAAAAGAATCTGCAAAATTGGTCCAGTCGTTGTTGAGTTATGCGCTTACCAACACATTTCGCGATTCATTTTTATGTTATAGATTCCTTCACATCATCAGCCTATAAGTTCCCACTGCTGAGCAAAGGCCTCTTCTTACACGGAGAAGGTTTGAGCATTAATCACAACGCTTGCTCAAGGCGGATTGGTGATTTCAAACTTATAATTAGAAATTATAAGTCTAGGTTTCCTCACGATGTTTTCCTTTTCCGTTTGTCAGTGGTGCCTAATTATAGGTAGAAAGTACATATAACTCGGAAAAGATCACATGGGTAGGTACTTAAGCGGTTTCGAACCCGCACCTTTATTATGTAAGAGAATCGGGCACATTACCCACAGGGCCATCACGACTATCGTGTAGGTATAAGCAAAAGCGATTTTTTTTATGTGATAGGTAAACGAGCAAACGGATAACCTGATGGTAAGCAATCAGCGTCACCCATGGACACCCGCAACGTCGTAGGAGTTACGAGTGCGTTATCGACCTTTTGGGGATTAGGGTTTTGGAGATTTTGGGAAAGGAAACGGATTGGGGAAGGATTGGGCCTCCGGCTCCGGTAACCTCGCTCAACTCGAATATATTCTTTTTTTATTTGAACATCATTTCTTTGTCTTGTACCTTCTTTCTGTTTAAATAAAGAACTATTATACTCCATTATTCTCGAAAATGGAATTCAATAACATTAACATGACTGCAACAATTAATAAATAGACAATTAAAACCAGTGAAACTGTATATCAAAGTTACCTACTAATTACAAACGAAATTAATAAAACAAAAACAATTCTAATATATTTTTAATATCTTCGAAAATAATATCATAAAATACACGTGAACATTGCATATAGAATTTTAACATTAAAAAAATAAACTAGATAATAGACATGGCATCATTATGAGGTAAATGCATTATTACATTAACATTAACTACTTACGGTTTTTCGTTAATTGCTAAAGCACGGATTCTTATACAAACTTTTGAAGACTTTAAAGAAATTTGACACTAATCTGTATACCAATCGCAACAAAGTTACAATAGCCATAATTATATTAAGGTCCAAAAAGTTTGTATGTATAACATTTCGTTTTGGAAAAAGTATTTAACTGAGCAGTTACGTTTTTCATTTTATTTTTTTATGGAAACATACAACTTGTAACTATCACTGTCTCTCTCTGTCTTTTATATGTCGCTTTTTCAATCTCCATAATTTGAGGCCAAGGCATACGAGTGCCAGATTTCATTAAAATTTAATTAGTAGTTTTCATATGACAATTTGTGTTAAAAACCCTGGTCTTGTGAATACTCTTAAAGTCATAAAAGTTACATTAACATTTAAAAGTAAAAGACACATAACATCGCACTTTTTATTCTACAGAGGTAGGCACATATTTGCAGACTCCTTGTGATGAGGTACAATAATTATAATCTACTATTTTACTCATTAAATACAACATAGTAAAACTGTACAGTACACAAGTATGAAAAAACAAAAAACCGTTACATACGACAAACACAGTCAAAATTCAAGACAATTATCTTAAAGTCAAAGTCAAAGTCAAAAATCATTTATCCCAATTAGACGCTTACAGGCACTTTTGAAAGTCAAACAAAATTTTGAAGATATAGTGTCAGTCTGTCGGTCAGTCCTATATAATGAAGCTATTTTCTCGTTCCAAAGCGTAGATTCCGATGGAGAAAAACGAGCAAGAAACTCCATGGTAACTCTTTTTACCCGACTGCCAAAGAAGGAGGGTAATGTTTTTCGAGTGTATGTAAGTATGTATGTATGTCTTTTCCTTTGTGACCTCCTGTAGCCTAAACGGCTTGATGGATTTTGATGTATGAGGTATCGTTAGATTTGTCTTGATTACGGGAGTGTCATAGGATACATTTTATCCTAAAAGTCCCACGGGATAAAGACATAATAATATTTTTTCTAAATTTCCCTTTAAAAAAATATGTATGCGGTATCATTAGATGTAATCTAAAGCCAAATGTCGTCGAAATAATTTAAAATGGTACTTACATATACATAGTCTTCTACATCTACAACATTTTCGTTAAATAAAAACAGCTAAAAAGTTATAAATAAAAAAATTATTATTAAAAAAACAAAATACCCGACTGCACACTAAAAAAAGAGTAAAACAAGCCCCACAATACAAATTTACTGAATATAATTTATAAATGTTGATGGAAAGCATCGCAGGCGGGGACCACCTTGACCGCCACCAACGAAAATTCTGCTAAATGGTGCACAACAGAAATGGCTATAAATAAGCCTCTGTTGGTCCCCGCCTGCGATGCTTTCCATCAACATTTATAAATTATATTCAGTAAATTTGTATTGTGGGGCTTGTTTTACTCTTTTTTTAGTGTGCAGTCGGGTATTTTGTTTTTTTAATAATAATTTTTTTATTAAATCAGTTTCACATACAGATTCCTTTTACAAACAGTTGTTTCAATTAGATAGACGTCAATTTCTTTTTTTTTTTTTGTAAAGTTTTTACTAGGTTTGTGTGCGTCGTGACGTCATAATATTTAACGTCAAGTAGCTTTATGAGCACCTATCAAAAAACGATTTAATATCGTTTTAAAATGAAATGAATTACAAATGTGATTAAGTATTTCAAGTAATTATAATTTTAATCATATTAAAAACGAAAACAAAATATTTTATAACATATTTCATTCTTTCAATCAATCAACAAGCATTTTATAGCCGCGCACGCAATTCTTCTATCGAGACAGACAATCAAAATTAAATGCACGTAATAATACAGCATGTTACGTAACGAAGCAATTTAAGAAACAACTTCGAGAACATTCCGCATTCCAAATACAATTCCACCTATACTAGTATACTTAAGTAAAAAAATAATATTAAAATGCGTTTGACTTTACTGTTCCCTTTTTAAGTATTGCAAAAGAAGGGTCTTATAAAAGACAAATCATCGACATCGACAAGATTACAACCAGACTTATAATTATTATCTCAAGTACAAATTTAGGCACAATTTAAAAAGCACGCAGTTAAAAATAGGTCACAACATTACCCTATTTCAACTTTTAAATTAAAACTGACACTTAATACGTTCTACCTTAGGACTTCTTTCCTTTTTCATCATCGCTGTCATCATCGCTACTCGACTCGTCATCTTTCTTTCCTTCGCCCATTGCCTCCCAATATGTGGGAGGAGGATCATCTGCGCTTGCTGAAGCAGATGCCCCGTCACCAACCCCTGGTGGCCAATTTTTGTCCTGTAATTCCTGTGGTGGATTATTTCGCACAAAATAATCACCTATCTGTACTGGAATCTCTAGAACCACATCTCTATGAGGCATCGGTAGATCTGTTGTTATTCTAACAACAAAATCTCGAGAAATTATATCAGAATTTTGTAAAGATATTTTATTTGGAGGGACTATTATATCAATTGGCATGATTTGAGTCGCTTCAGGTTGGATAGTACCTGTCTTACTCTCACATTCAGGTATTTCGTCATAAAATTTCACTTCACCGTGCCCGTTTGGTTTCACTTTAATAACCTCCAGCAATTGAATTTTCACTCCATTCACAACGATATTAGTATCATTTTTTATCTCAGATTTTATTTCAATTTTACCACCTTTTGGAACTACGGAGCTGAGGATTTCTGCTTTCATTATCAAAGTGCTGGTTTTGCTTGAGAACAGCTGCAGTAGCTGGCTTCTTTCGCCATACATAATAGGTTCCATGGACATCTCAGGGGCAACAGGGGAAGCTACGGTAATTTTCTTTCGGAAATGATTATCGAAAGAAAACCAGCCTGGCTTTTCGAATTTCAGTCGAATATAATATTTGATGTAACATTTAACACGGAATGGACTTTGACGCTTCGTGTATTCTATAGAGCTCGGTATCTTTTCGGGTAATCTGAAGTAAAATGGTACCTCGTAACTTCCCTTCAGCGTACAATTGCCATTGGGTAATATATGGTCTGTATCTACATAAACTTCCTTGCCATCAAATCTTCTACTATTTTTTCCACTTTTCTTAATAAGTATCACTCGCCCCATTCCCTTTAATGATATAGTTATCTTCTCAACATCCATAGGTTCGTCCACTCCATACTTGACCATCCCTGATACTTGATCTCCTCCATGGTAAACGCCGTCTGGTGGTTGTTTCAAGTTAATTTGGCAAAACACACCCATTTTTTATTTCACTTTTTTAATTAAGTCACAAGAGTACGATGGAATTAAGCGCGTTTACAAATGCACATGGAATGAATTTGGTCGCGATATCTTGCACCGATTTATCAGTACAGATAAGAATGGACAAAGTAAACAAACACAACTCGCTCTGTGAAGCGCCGCTTGAAACTTAATGAGTACCAAGGCCAGTGTTTCTGACAATTAATAGTACGCTTTCCAACTATACAACACTGTGTTACCTAGTGCCCAAAATACTGGGAGATCGCAAAATAGTCTAGAATAATACTATACACAAAATTATGTACACAAGTCAGTCGGGTTTGTTATGCATACTGACACACATTTATGACATAAAAACTTACGCGTTCGGATACATAGTCGGTCGGAATGATAGTTTTGTTAGAAGCTTAATTTAAAATCTCTTTTTGTATCAAAGTCTCAAACAATGCTAACTCAACTTGTTTTGTATTAGATCTAGATAAATAGTAGGAATAAAATAAAAATACTAAATGTAAAAAAACACAGAGTAACATTAACTACGCGCCCGAAAGCTGTTTTGTTAAAGAATGTATCCGAATTTCGTCTGGCGCTAGAAGGTGAACGAGACAATCAATTTACGATCGCAGGGAGTGAAAGAGATGGACGTAGCTGTGTCTCGGTCATATTACGTCATCTTGCTCTTGCCGGTCGTTCCTCGTATTATAAAAAAGTTTTTTTTTAACTTTGTAGGTACAAGGTAGGTAAGTGTTATTGTGATGCAGATATTAAGCACTGCGTATACGTCGGGAACTACAAGCGTTTGTAGTGAATTCACTATTATTGATGAATAAATTTTGGATTTTTTTAAGACAATTTTTTTTAAAATTAAATTAAAATTAACAAATCAAAATATACTTGCCATAATATTAATAACAGATAGGTTTTTTACATTTAAAAAAAGTTAAAATTTTAATATCAACATTATTTTTACATATTACTTAAAAACATATTTTATTTTGAAAACAAATCACATATCCTACTAGCTTGATTATAAAAAAAAGTTAGTATTAAGTTTAATTATTTAACTACCCACGTTTTGCACAGGTAAAATTTCAGATCGAAATAGTTTATTCAACAAAGCTCGTGTCACGGGAATACCGTTATGGTCACGGAGCTTAACATGCAGAATTTGCATTTTGCATAACACGTTGTGCCTTTAATACCAAAACTAAATATCCTGCTATTATTATACGTGCATATACATATATATTTCATGCATCATCACTACATATTATAAAACAAAGTAGCTTTTTCTGTTCCTTGATTCTTGTATGCTTAAATCTTTTAAACTACGCAACGTATTTGTTGCGAATTTTTTAAATACATTGAGTAATGTGTATAAACGCCCGGAGGCGTCCCTCAAGGGTTGTGGCATTGCCACCGACAATATCGAATATTAGGTATGTATAATCGATATACTTCTGACCAAAATATGACCTTTTCAAAAGGATTAAAATACGATTCCATTTTTTTCTTACTCTTCCCTCTCGCCTGAGCCGGAGAAGTGATCGGAATAATTTCAACCCCCAAAAACGTAGACACAGCATTTCTAGAAATAGTCTGTCTACCCCCAAAAATCACCTTCCACTTACACATGCAACACCAATACTACATTTTTATGAAACTCGCGATCACAATACAATACAGGTTTTTTATTAAACTACGTAATCAACCTTTCATATGTCATGGTGACCCAGTTAAGTAGCCCACTTCTCATATATGACGATGGAGACTTGAAACTTGACAAAATTTTTACTTAATTACTCAATACTTTAGCAGCATTCCATATGTTATACAGGTTGTATTTTTATAAGTGACAACAATATATTAGAAATAATATGGAGGTTAGAGAGGCTTACAGTACAAATTATCTTATTACCTAGTTTAGTATTAAATTTATACTTATCATCAAAACTTAAGTATAGTAACTTTAGATACGACTGGTGCATTGTGGTGAAGGAAAAAATCATGAGGAAACCTGTGGGTACCTACATTTTTTAATTATTGTTGAAAATGGCGTGGTGGTCCGGAGGTTAAGGAGCCCGCTTCTCATGCATGAGGGTGTAGGCTCGAAACCTGGCAAGTACCAATGTGACTTTTTCAGAGTTATATGTACTTTTTAAGATTATTTAGATACCATTGACATACGGTGAAGGTGTAAACCTGAACTTATAATTTCTAAATATAAGTTTGAAATCGCCAACCCGCATTGAGCAAGCGTGGTGATTAATGCTCTAACCTTCTTCGTATGAGAAGAGGCATTTGCTCAGCAGTAGGCACTTATAGGCTGATGATGATGATAATGTTTAAAATGGCCAATACACGTTGATCAAGTTGGGTGATTGAGAGTCATTCTTTTGATAACAAGCCGATAATGAATCATGCACTCCACCTTGCAATATAGGACAATCAATAAAAATTAAGCAACGAAATATAACCCTTTTTATTCCATCAAAGTTTAACCATAGGACTAAATACACAGATAACATCGTATCTAAAACAAATTGATCCCTGAAAATCTCCATTGAAAAGATTACAAAATAGATAAAAAGAAAAATTTCAATATATTAACTTCTATTTTTAGAGAAAACCGGTATCGAGCTACGAAATTCAATTCAGTTTTATCGCCTCATTTTGAGCCTGTAACGAACAAGGATTTGATAAGTTTGTGTTTTTGGAGGGGGACAAACCTAAACTTCTCTCGCCTAACCCGATGATGATGAAAAGCCTTACCCGAGGCGAGAGCAACTATCAGGCTTTTACTGACTAAAAACTACCATGTGGCTTCTCCTGCTCCAGATCGAGACACTGGTACCTATTGTGCTTACCTAACAACCCAGGCTGATTAATAGCAACCCAAATGATATCACTTCTGGCTCCTACACGTATTCTGACGATCATGAAATGCACATGTGAGCGTTGTGCTTCATGCGTAGCGTTCCGCGCGCACCTCAAAGAGCCAATAGACCACCACAGACGGGGCCCTATAGGGCTGATGTTCAGCCGGTGTTGCGGGGCAAGCGCAATGAAGCACCGCGACCTCGGCCCAGAGCAGGAGAAGGAACAAGTGGGTTTTTAGTCAGTAAGAGTCTGACACTCTCTCCCGCCCGGCCCTGGGCGAGAGAAGACAATTGATGATTTATCCCTCACAAAAAAAAAGCGTTGTGCTTCATAGTGTAAGAGTGTAAGGATACGGGTCGCCCAATCCTCCATCCATAAGTTATAGTAGATCTGCGAAGTCTTCTTTTGCAAAGCAGTAAGCTAAGAGAGAGCCGGAGCACGTGAGAGAACTAGCCTTCTGAATTTCTAGCTGCTAGAAGATAGGGTCTGGGTGTAGGGATTACGTGACTATCTGGGGTCGGCGACAAAGGAGAGATCAGGAGAAAGAAAAGTGGTTTTGATTCAATAAAAGTAAAGTGAGTGCCTTAACCGGGTCACCATGACATATGACTGACTGATCACTCTTCGCCTCGTCCCGGTTAGGCATAGTCATTATAGATGACTTTCTTCCCTGAAAATAAGCTATTACAGATCATTTTAAACCTACCACTTAAGGAAATAAGACGCCTAACATGGTTTAAAATTTAGCATAAAAGGCAAACTGAATTATTCTAATTAGTATTCTATCTTAAAGCTAATAAAACCTATATTACAATTACACAGATACAATCAAGGGTAATGTTTCTACATAAGAATTGTCGTTTCCCGTTTATCCCCAGAAGTAATGTTTGGTAAACTAAATGGAACTCGAAATGTCTTTTATTGCATCCCTAAAAACAAATCCTGCCTTACTTCGGGGAATTTTCGAGCGTTTAAGTAATCTAATGGGTGGAAGTTGCTTTTTATGTTTATTTTTTCCATGATTTTTGCTTTGTTTGGTTCATGTATACCTATGGGTTTTATCCTCTGGTAATGCGTTTGGATTTATTTGTTAATTGTGTAACCTACAATTACGTTTATAATTGGGTATTACATTATAATATTATAATTCCAACGATTATATATTGATATTTGTAATTCTCTAATTTCTAAGAAATAAATTATATATTTGACACAAAAAAGACATAACGGCAACAAAAAAGTCAATCCAAACTAATATTATAAATGCGAAAGTAACTCTGTCTGTCTGTCTATCTTTTCTTTATGCCTAAACTACTGGACCTATTTGTGTGAAATTTGGTACTTGAAACTTGAGAAAAGACATAGCTATCCTATTTCCTTCTTTAACCTAAAATCTGCAGGAAGTCACTATTCCACGCGAATAAAGTAACGGGTAACGGCTAGTTTGAAAATAAAATCGGATTACTAGTATTTCTGTACCTGATTGTGCCTAGCGATCCTAAAATTTATACATTGAACCTTTTTTCATTTATTCTTTTATATAAAAAGTTTATGATGATTCTTATAACGTTTTAAATAAGATATTTCCGGTATATATACGTAAACTTCAGGTATAAAAAAACAAAGTAGATAACCATTCTAGAAAGTAAAGTTGTAACAATTTTAAGACATGGTAATAGGCGTCTGTTTTTAGTAACCACTCATTATTTTACTGCGAAAAAAAAACATAAAAAAATGTCGAATTAAACTTTAAAAACACGTAAAAAGCCTCTCTCGATAGCTAGGATCAACTTACAATATAAAGACATCGTAAAATTTGACACCATTCCTCTAAGCCGCAGGCCATTATAATTACTATAATAATGAGAGGAAGTTTTTTTCTTAATTTACTTGTAGTTTATATGACGAAATAAGGACTGAGTATCTATCCGTCATTTAGGCTGAGTATTACAATATTCTGTTTTTTTGTGAGGGAGGAATGTTTTTTAATGTTATAAGTCGGCAAACGAGCATGCCGATTACCTGTGATGGTAAGCAATCGGCGCCGCCCATGGACACCCGCAACACCAAAGGAGTTACGAGTGCGTTACCGGCCTTTTGGGGATAGGGGTTGCGGATATGAGTATTGGGAAGGATAGGGGAAGGGGATGAATTGGGCCTCCGGTAACCTCACTCACACGGCGAAACACAACGTTGTGGTTGTTTCACACCGGTATTCTGTGAGGCCGTGGTATCACTCCGGTCAAGCCGACCCATTCGTGCCGAAGCTTGGCTCTCCCACACTTAAGGCTACTGAGCTTTTTGTTAAACCACTGTGCTGTGAAATCAAAACAGAGTGGTGTATAGCAGTAGACATATTATTATTCTAAAAGCTAGTATTTTGAATCAACCTTTAAGATTAACTTATCCACACCTTTATATTATAGTTCAAGATCACAATAAAAC